ATTTTATTGCTATTCATATCCATGAATTCTTCAATTTTGTATTTTGTTTGTATTTTTGTAGGCGCCTTGATCGGTTTTTCTGGAGAAGTGCGCATTATAAATATATATTATTATTATTATTATAATTAAGCTTTGAAACTTCGTGCAATGGTAGGCCTTGATGAATTATGTTTAAAAATCCAAAAAACTGAAAATCGAAGAAAATATGGTTTAACACGGTAGAGTGTTACTTCGTGGTGTCGGTGACGATTTATTACATGTGAGAGTTCTGAGTATGTTTCAAAGAATTTTGAAGTGTGGGCTTTTAGCACTGGTGTCTATGGTAATTTTAATACAAGGTTGCACCCTTGAAACGATTTCTAACCCATTTTGACCCCACATGCCAAATTCCATGCTTTTAAAACAAAGTGCACGAATTGGGCGAAAAAAATTGACCTAAGCAGCTCCACTATAAACACACCCATCGGAGTCTGCTTGGGCATGGCGAGGAGAATCAACAAAAGCCAACCAAAAGCAGCCGGAGAAAGATCTGACCAGTCCCGTAATTTGCAAAAAAGCGTACAAATTAGGCAAAGAAAATCTCTGCTGAAGGCTAAAAAGCTGTCAATCATTGAACTGATTGCTCTGGGCAGGGGCTTTAACTTTATTCCCACCCTTAGAAACGTTAAAGGTCGACCATCCTTCGCTACTTCCCACTCATTCTTTATAATGAGACTTCGTTTAAAATGGGAGGGAGAGTAAGACCGTCTGACTCGCATCCATTCAAACTGCTGATGCTGATAACAAATCCTCATTTCCTTCCCCTTTAAATCAATTTTAATTCACGTCGGCAATTTTCTTGTTATTGTCCACCAATTCCCTGATTTTGCCAGCACGTACCGGTTCTTTTTTGCATAAAACACTTCTCCCTCAGAAAAAGGCAAAACTTGACAAAATTAATCACCGGTGGCGGCCCCCTTAAAAAACCTCCCCGTCCTTTAACTGATATGACTTGAAATGTATAGCGTAAAGTGCCTGACACGCTGCTTTCGTTACACCCAAACTCGTCCGCTGCACGTGCAGCAAGCTCCGTTAATACTTATAATTATCTCGTGCGCACGAGATAATTATCTCGTGCGCACGAGATATATGTCGTGCGCACGTGATAATTATCTCGTGCGCACGAGATATTATGTCGTGCGCACAAGATATATGTCGTGCGCACGAGATATATGTCGTGCGCACGAGATATGTGTCGTGCGCACGAGATATTATGTCGTGCGCACGAGATAAAAAAAATAATTTTGGATGTCCCTTTAGGGGCTCCGTACCCAAAAAAGGCGACGCCAAAAAAAAAGGCGACGCCAAAATAAAAATGCGACGCCAAAAAAAAAAAATTAAATTAAATTAAACAATTAAAACCACAGCAACGGCCTAGACGGCACGCGAAAACAAATTATCACCAAACACAGAGGGCTAGAACGCTGTGTCAATAGAGATATTTGTTTGTACAATATTCTGAAAGAGATGTCTCTATCTCGGAAATAAAGGTGTTTTTTTCTGGTCTCCGATGCCGTTTCAAATACATGTATCTGTTCTTCGAACATGTAAGTGGGTTAGAAACGAGGGGCGGACAGTCAATTCAGGCAATTTGGGTGATTCACATTGTAGTGCGCCACCAATAGTTTGCTCGGTGAGTCCATTTTCAAGTTTACGTTCGACAAAACATGGCCCAGTCAGTGGCCGTGTTACGCACACAGCCCTGTTTGTCCTCAGTTTCTTGTCCCGAGGTCACTCACGCATGGCCCAAAAGCGTACGCGAGATTTTACGAGATGTATTCGAGACTACAGAAAAACACAAGAAGTACCTGAATACGTGCACTGTTTGTCCAAGATGGCTAAATAATTGAAAAGTTGAAATCGTGTGCTTTATTTTGATACCAAAAATAACTGCTTTGGACAAATATAAAGTGTTATTACGGCCTGTCAAACAAAATCATATTTTACATCAACAAAAGCGAGGGCCGATAGTTTTAAGGTGTACATTCGATTCTTAAAAACCGCCAAAAGAAATGGCAAGGCTCAGTATATAGAGGAAAATATACGCTTCTTTTTCATGTGAAACACATGCAGAAGACTTCTAATGTTTGGTCCAAATCGCCGGATGAAAAATGAAGACTTTTTATGGTTATATAATACAAGCTGATTTACCCGATCATAGATCGGGTAGGGCGTAGTGTTGGGGATGAAAATGTGGGGAGTTAAATGTAAATGGGGGATATAGTTGGGAGACATGCAGTTATAGAAAAGCAATTTCTGTGGTGTGATCTGAGGCAATTTCTGACCACTAAAACCAATTTGAGCAAAAGATCATCTTTATTCTTTTAAAGTTTTGAGTTTGGAGTAATTGAATCAGCTACATGTATTCTGAGCAATAGAATCATTATTGTAGGCTACAATATTTTTATTCGGGGAAGAAAAAGTGTGGGGGGGGGACACCAAACAATGCCCCCCGCCTCAAAATGTGTGTGTGTGTGTGGGGGGGGGGTCCCTGTCCCCCATCGATTTACGCACATGATAATTATGTACCGTGGAAACTGTCTGTAAATGTTGCCGTTGGTCTGTTAAATTGGCTTTTTGTGAGGCAGTCGCATTTGGAAAACGTAGTGAAAAGGTTACTGTAGTACACAGGCGAAGGCTGGTTTAAATCATAATGCAATAAAACGTGAAGGTGTCTTTTGAAATGAAAATGTTGAGTGTTACCATAAAATTACAAACGGTCTGAATCATGGAGGAAGGTCATAATTAAGTTGAGTATTGGACTCTTCAACAAACGTAAACTTGAACTTCTTACAATTTGCAAGACCGTCTGCGAGGAAAAAGTCGATTTAACTTTTATTGAAGTTGGTTCAACCATCTATATAAGAGCAACTTTTACTCGGCCTCCGAGAAGTTTGCTCCTGAAAGGGGCCGAGACCGCGGCTTCACGTCCGTGGAAAAATGTGGGTGTCTTCCGCCGGGTCGGACACTTTTTCGTCGATTTTTTTGTGACTGCGTTTAAGATCGCGATATTTGAAGCAATGCATCGATCCTTCGTTGACCCCAAAACAGGCCCCCGAAATTATAACCCGACACTGAATTATACGTGGCGCGCAGCGAACTCACAACGCTCAGCCTTGGTGGTGGAAGCATGGAGCTGTAAACACATTATGGAAGCAAGAGCACTCTATCACGCGACGTCACATGCTTGCGCTTCAAATAGCGAGCACCGTAGACCCAACCTCGTTTCCAGGGTGTGGAGCAGGCTGCAGTACGCGTTGCCATCGACAGTTTTGCATAGCCCGGAAATACTACGCAGTGTAGACTTTCGATTGGTCAGACCGCGCAAGGCATACTTAATGTGTAGTCCTTCTGAGTATTCGTTGCACTCGGCGCAGGGGCGGCAAGCGAAGCATTCGAAAAAATAGGGGCACTTGGTGGCCACGCACCATGGAGAAAAAATATTTTACCAAGGTCACCCCATACCACAATTTGGTGAACGCTGTTGCAGAACGGCCGAGTAGAACACGTAAACGGAACCCCTACGTCGAAGCCGCTGACCTCGCACAGTCTAGACACGCAGAAAAGCCAGCACAGGGGGCGGCCAGGCAGTCAACGTGAAAGCGCACACGACGGCAAATTCCTGCGCAAAACGCAGTCACGAAAAATAGACGAAAAGAATCGCCGGTCCGTACGGGAAAATCAGGACGACCCGAAGTGTCCGACCCGGCGGAAGACACCCTCCGCATTTTTCCACGGACATGGAGCGATTTTGGCGCAGCGGGAGCCCGCGGTCTCGGATCCTTTCATGAGCAAACATCGTCTCGGAGGCCGAGTTAAACTCTCTCTTATATATATAGATTTCCCATTCCCCATGGGCGGATAGTACATTTTGAGCTGCGGCGTGAATGGGAGCAATTAACGAATGTCATGTGATGTGAGTTCCACCAATCAAATTACTAGGATCTTTATGTCAGTTATACAACTACATGTACTACCCAATGCCCACTTTCCATGTACACAAAAGCTACAAAGTGCCCTCCTACAAGTATCCAACACCCTGTTTATTGCATCACCTAATTAAGATTGACAGGCAATGTGCCTTTTTATGAGGGGGATTAGGCCCCAAAGTTGATAAACTGCTCAACGGATTAACACAACCACAAATTTATGAGCTGGGCTCCACAGGAGGCCTCACTGCATTTTCACGGTGTTTTTACTTGACCTTAACATGTCCTGGTTACGTGATGATTTTCAGGTCGATTTCACCAGATACTTCGCAATGACATCGCCGTGAAAAAAAAACTCACGGTGAATTCACGTCAAATTATATATTCACTCCAAATTCACGGTGTTGAAATTCATAGTTCTGGAAGTATGTCACACCGTCAACGGATGTACCCATCCCTGTCGTGCGGCACACAAGCACACGCCTCAGCCACAACTACCATCAATAATATTATGCGTCTCCGCAATATCTGATATTCAACTAGTACATTGCTGAACATTGAAAAAGTTCCTGTAGTTGGTTTTCTGGGAATGTCAGCATAATCTGCATTAATTGCACACATGGTTATTGTTTTCCCGGTTGCTTGAGGCTATATGGTTGTTTTATTCTTCCAAAACCAACATGTCCTACTTTTTGCTGAGGCAAAAACTCGCATTACAGTATATTAGCCCTCTCGTGCTCTAGACAGGACCCGCTTATATTTATAGGCCTATATGTTTGCAATAAAGCAAAGTCCTCAACGTGATTATCAAAGCGTATCTTTGGACTTGCAACCATACCCACGTTTTCCCTTACATCTTGTTTGAAGATTAAGACGAGACGGCCAAACTCGGGGCTGAACAGCTGACATTCGACGTCACGCGTGAGTACTGAACGCCAGTCTGAAACTGCGCACGCCTGGTCTAAAACACAATGCCTTTGCACGACACAATTGACGACCGCTCACGTGCCCCGCTGCAATGGCACTGACCATCCCCATGCTACAACTGCTATATACATGTACATATACATATGTATTTCGCTTGTGAGATAAATCAAATTCGAACACAGCCAGCATATGTCGCTGCTAAAACAATTGCAGCCGAATCATGGTATGAAAATGGCATGGCTTCGTGCTTTATTCCATCTCTCCTTGATCTAAAGCCGTGTAGAACATAATAACAGTCGCTAATTTAAGGAGTTTGGATATCTCCTACCTGATTTCCTCAGACCACTCTTTACGTCCCACTTAAACAACTGAACCAAATACCCCTGCATGTTGACACAGAATCATTCATCTTGAATCTGGTGCCTGACTGCCTGGTCTGTGGGCGTGGTAACTCCATGGAGCGGGTCCGGCAGCTGGCATGCGAGCATGAACCAGAGCGAACGCAACAGACGTCGCTCTCGAAGGCGACCCGATTCATTCTGAGCATGCTCTCTACCCTCTACGTTCGCAGCGGTGTTAATAGTGCAAGGAACTGCAAGGAGCGCCAGGAGAGTCCTAGCACATGCTCTCATGATGCATATAGGCCTACATGTACTTCACCCACCACGTCCGAGCCATCAAGAGTGTTATGTGCTGATCGTGGTTATGGGCTGGTTATAGCATAATTCCCATTCAGCAATTATTATGCATGTACAAATGTAGTTGGGGAAATGCGAGCAGCATCGAGTCAGAAGATTGTGGATCTTTCCCGAGTACTTCAAATCTTTCAGACGAATGAACATGATGACAGAGGTATGTGACGTGTGTATCTGATTTAAACAACTGCTATTTCGGGCAAAGCAACTATAAAGCATATTCATTACACATTTTGAATAGATGTAACTTATGATGTAACTTGCATGACTTAATTGACAGATGTATTTCCAGCATTCCTCCATTATTTCAGACTGTCTAGTCTTTATTTATTTATTTATTTATTTATTTCATTTTCCGGGATATTACAAACAGTGAATTACAGACAAAACAATTACATGTACATGTACAAATAACACTGAGTAGTAAACATAACAGAAAACATAACAGAAAACAACACCCAAAAAGCTCCCGCAGGATTACCCAAAAGAAACAAGTTTCTGTCGAGGGGCTCTCCAAACTAATTGGATAACAGTGATTAATACATTTAGGATAAAATTCATTAAATAAAATATATATAAAATTAAGCAGTTATGCAAAATATAATTATACAATTAAAAATTAAAAATTACAATAAGTGTAAATAAATAAATACATAGGCCTAAATAAATAAATACATAAATAAATAATAAAATAAATAAAATAAATAGATTAATACAATAAAAAATAAAATATAATAAAATAAATAGAATAAACTGAAATAAAATGAAAAAAAAATAAGATTAAATTAATTAAATAAATAAATAAAATAAAAGCTGGCATACATGCTATGTCCAAATAATAGCAACAACAACAACAACAACAACAATAATAATATGCTGTGAAAGGGAGTTTGTTGAGCCGGAGAAATTTGGATAAAAATATCTTGGGAGGAAAACTCTAGAATGCATGAGAGATGGGGTCTAGACTGAACAGATGATCAGTAAAGAATTGATGAGAGGTTTGGGGAACGTTCTAGGAAAAGGTCTCGAACATCGGTGGAAAGTAAATTAAAAAACCTGGGAAAAAGGGTGAACAAAGAAAATTTGACACAGTTTGTCCGGCTGTACTGATGTTTGAAGAGGAGGGTGTGGGTTTTCCTAGTGTTGGCCTGTGGGAGAAAATGTGAAGAAACAGAAATTTTATTGTAGAGACATTTAATGACAAAGGAAGCACTGAGGTATACAAGTATGTTGTAGAGGGGAGGCAAGTGAAGTTTGTTGGACAGGCGTTGTTCACAGGAAAGAAAAATAGCCACATTGTAATGGAAGCAAGATTTAGGTCAGCTTGACCACACTTTTAATGGAGTAATTATGTGCTTACTTTCCACAATATTTTTGCCATATTGTTCGATGTATTTTTACCTGTCATATTGTCTCTTTTTTCAATATCCTGTTTTTTGTGCTGAGGAGTCCATTTTCTTATCAATAGGTTCACAAACACGATCTAATCGAAGGCAGTACGTGATCAAAGTGGAAGACATCATAAGACAGGCCTCTTTAGTTGTGAGGTAAATGGCCTTTTCCTCATCAGATCTTAAATATCTTGGCCGATTGTTGTTCTGCTTATGAAGTAAATTCGACGTTGTTGGTTGTATGATTGATGCTTAATATTTCTTTAAAAGAATACAGAAAATCATCTTTTTCTTGAACATGTTCAAGAGGAAATCACTCATAAAAGGATAAAAATTAACGTGTTCTCTTCAATTCTATGACAATGAAATGTGTGGGTTTTTTGTGCTTTTCCTCCCATTATTTTGTGGAGCGGATCATTTGTTTTTGATGTATGTAAGATAGGTGAGGAAAGCTCTAAATTACAACAATTTTATATTTGATTTGCATTTTCCAGCGAGTGTCATGGATGAAGGCACGGTGGCACACATTAAGCGGAACTGATTGCTCCATCACTCGCCACGTTTGCACGTGAGGCTTAAGGAAGATGGGATGAGGTCGACCGGATAATCTTCTCGTTAGGTTTTAAATTTTAATGTCATTCTCAAAAAACGGATTTTGTCAAATATTTAGTCATGCAAATAATCAAGCAATTAATGACTTTTGAAATACAATTGCTCATTCTTGATTGATCGGAGTATTTTAGTGTTCAGTAAGGGAAGACTTTCAGTTTCGTATGGATAATAACAACATCAGTAATAAGTTTTATGGATCTTTAAAATTGTTTATACATTCAACAAGTATGATCAAAATATGCACAATTGTGCATTATTTTATTTCCATTCGTGGTTTTGGAATTGTGCGGTAGACCCTTATGCCTCAGCTATGTTGTAGTTAGAAGTGGAAAACAATTTTGCCAAATCAATGTGAATATTTGGTAAAGATATACACGTATAAGGCATGAATTGTTTCCTGAGTTGATTCCCTTCTTTAAAATGATGTACTCATTTTGTAAAACAAAAACATACCGGAACTTGTCCAGTCATTTTTGAATCAGTTACGTGCATCTGTTCAAATCACAAAACGACTAACTTAACTTCAGTATTTTAATGGCCACATTTAAGTGGACGACATCATTTTGTTTAACAAGTTAAACACCAAGGTCACTTTGCTGAAAATATCACCATTTAACCTAGAGTCACCCTTAGACTGAAAGATTCAGTATTCTACATACAGGGCTGCTAAAATAAGAAAGCCTCAAAATTTCGTAATTTTTCTCGCACTGCGTGGAGCAACTTTTATGTAATTGAGCTGTATCTATGATGAGAAAAACATTTTGTATTAAGTATATTGGATGGGAAATGCAATAAAAGTGTTGTGTGTTTGGAATATAATGTGTAACTATTGTCAATTTCTTTTGGACTAACCATTTCTCTCTTGTTTTCCTATCATACTGGCAGAGTTCTGGATCAATGCTGGCTCAGTACTGGACCGATTCCTGCATAATTCCGGCCCAGAATCAGTGCAGTACTGATTTTCTTCTGGTTCAGTTATGGCATCATGCATCGGTCCCGCGCCGCTGTGCAGGCCTTACCCGGTCAATTCGAAACGCCAGCATTGGGCCAGTACAAGTCAAACAGAACTGGCCCATTTCTGGAACTATGCTTGCCCAGTTCTGGATCAATGCCGTCTCAGTACTGGACTGATTCTGGCCTATATATTGGCGCATAATCGGTCCAGTACATGTTTTATTCTTGTATAATGTACTGGCCCAGTTACGCGCCGCTGTGCAAGCCTTAAACGGGCCAATGGCTATAGCCAATTCAAAACGCCGGCATTGGGCCAGTACAGGTCAAACAGAACTGGCCCATTTCTGGAACTATGCTTGCCCAGTTCTGGATCAATGCCGTCTCAGTACTGGACTGATTCTGGCCTATGTATTGGCGCATAATCGGTCCAGTACATGTTTTATTCTTGTATAATGTACTGGCCCAGTTACGCGCCGCTGTGCAAGCCTTAAACGGGCCAATGGCTAGCCAATTCAAAACGCCAGCATTGGGCCAGTACAGGTCAAACAGAACTGGCCCATTTCTGGAACTATGCTTGCCCAGTTCTGGATCAATGCCGTCTCAGTTCTGGACTGATTCTGGCCTATGTATTGGCGCATAATCGGTCCAGTACATGTTTTATTCTTGTATAATGTACTGGCCCAGTTACGCGCCGCTGTGCAAGCCTTAAACGGGCCAATGGCTAGCCAATTCAAAACGCCAGCATTGGGCCAGTACAGGTCAAACAGAACCGGCCCTTTTCTGGAACCATGCTGGCCCAGTTCCGGATCAATGACGTATTAGTACTGGATCGATTCTGGCATTAAGCATTGGCCCAGAATCGGGCCAGTACAGGTTTTTTTTCTGGTATCATGTACACTGTACTGGCCCAGTTCCGCTCCGCTATGCCAGCCTTAAACGGGCCAATGGCCAGCCAATTCAAAACGCCAGCATTGGGCCAGTGCGGGTCAAACAGAACTGGCCCTTTTCTGGCCCTTTTCTGGAACTATGCTGGCCCAGTTCTCGATCAATGCCGTCTCAGTACTGGACCGATTGGCCCAGAATTGTCCAGTACAGGTTTAATTCTGGTATCATGTAGTGGCTCAGTTCCGCGCCGCTGTGCAAGCCTTAAACGGGTCAATGGCCAACCAATTAAAAAATACAGCATTGGGCCAGTACAGGTTAAACGGAACTGGCCCTCGTCTGGTACTATGCTGGCCCAGTTCTGGATCAATGCCGTCTCAGTGCTGGACCGATTATGGCATATGTTTTGGTCCAGCTGTGGACCAGTAACGGATTGGTATTGGATTATTTCCAGCATGATGTATTGATCCAGAATCGGTCCAGTAATGGTTTAATTCTGGCATCATGTACAGGCCCAGTTCCGCGCCTCTGTACAAGCCTTAACCGGGCCAAAGCCCATCCGATTCGAGAAGTCATCATTGAGCCGGTACCAATGTACCGGCAAAACAGTATTGGGCCAGTTAAGACCCACATCCTAAATGTTTGCTGGGCGAGGTGTGAAATAAGTAAGGATTAAAACTCGATATTCAAAAATTCAAATGCATTTTTAAATCAATTGATTGGCTTACCAGTAGGCTATAAAGCCATCGTTTCTCACTCAATTCATTCTACTGTAATGTCTTCTACAGAGCTGATCGATCTTGCGGCAAACCAGTCAATCACCATTACCTCGCCATCCTATCCAGGCAACTACCAGAACAACCTGGACATCGAATGGTTTATCCAAACAGCGGAGGACTTTAGAATCCTCCTCAGTTTCCACGCTTTCAACACGGAGAGTGGCAATGATTATCTGGTGGTTGGCAATGGCCGCGACTCTACTGACTCCTCCACTTGGGTGATTTTGGGGAGTGGGAGCAGTCTCCCGCCTGATACGCTGTCAACCGGCAATGCCATGTGGCTGAGGTTCACATCTGATGGTGTGATTACCAAAAGTGGGTTTTCTCTATCAGCTCGAAGCGTTGAATCACTTGGTAAGAGCACGTTGAATGAAGTTAAACATTGAGTTCTGCCAATCCACAAGCCTACAAAGTCAGGCGAACATCCTCCATCTTGAACATAATGATGTAGCGCCTTGAGCACCAGTCCTGGTAGATACGTGCGCTTTATAAATATCCATTATTATGAACAATTCCCACAACGTGCGTGTGCATAAAATGCCATGTACCTCGTACAGCGAAAACTTCTGTCCAACTAAACAACAACGCGCGGTCATCTTTTCGAAGTAAGATTCGCAGGCTTGGCGTTGTTCAGCGAATTCTACCTTGTGGATGGGTATCACAGGTATTTGGTATTACACAAGTGATGCGTAGCAATGTTTTGGAGTTTAAATCAATAATTGTGGTGTTAATCTGACGGGTTAGTCAAGATTGATGAGCTGATTAACTTTGTATCATATACAATCAACTGATGTTATCTATTTTACACCAGGTGTGAAAATTTGAAAGTAGTACCTTTTTTTTCAAATCAGATAATGAGGCCCCTGTGTTAGAATGCCCAATGAACATCGTCGCACCCACCGATCCTGGGCAGGACTTTGCTACAGTGACGTGGAATTCACCCAACGTGACAGACAACTCTGGGGAATTGATCTCACCAACTCTAAGCCACGTGTCTGGTTCTACATTTCCTCTTGGTATAACCACGGTGGATGTTAACGCAACTGACTCCAGCTCAAACATTGGTTCTTGCTTCTTCACCATCGATGTTCAAGGTACTCTTGTCTTTTTCAGTTGTCATCTTTTGAAGTTGATGTGCATTGAAAACAGACAGTGCCTAGTTCTATATGCTCTTTTAACAACAGCCTGTCAAAACGTTTTGAGGAAAAATTGTGATTGTGGAGCGAACCTAAAACAGGTGATATTATCGTTGTTCATGGATAGCCAGGACAGTTTACCCATTCTTATGCGGTTCATAAGTGTTTGTAAGAGGATATCTGCCTTCAGCTTGGGCCATTACCGCGACCAGGCCTCTGGTCGTTTTTTTTTAAACATATACTTGTTTAAAAGCGGCCAAGTACATTCCCTTATAATATACACCACCAGCACTTACGTTCTCAAAGTCAAACTTTTTTTACCAGACTTGAATGAGATGTCTGCTTTTGAGTTTGAGTTTGAGGGGGGGGGGGGGATATCGGATACCGTTATTCAATTAATGATGTATACAATTACTTTTCATTTAATATAGTAGTACCCGAAGTATTGTACTTCCAAGTAGTGATGCGGTTTTTACTTTCGTTTGTGCCATTGTAGACAGCCAAGCTCCCATTGTAGAATGCCCAATGAATATCGTCACAGGCACAGACAGAGGACAGGATTTTGCTACCGTGATGTGGTACGCACCCAACGTGACTGATAACTCCGGTGAATCAATTACTGCTATTCTAAGCCATGTATCAGGGTCGACATTTCCTCTTGGTATGACAACAGTGAGCGTTGATGCTACTGACTCTAGTGGAAGGACAGGGTCTTGTTCCTTCACTGTCACCGTTCTAGGTATGTTTATAAATTGATGATGTGTAAATTAAATGTTGTAGTTCAACCTGGGTACTAAAAGAACTCTTATATATCACAAACGTTTAAAGTGACGTTGGACTATGATAACAAAAATAGTACCGTGATTGCCGAAAGAAATATTGAAATAAATTTCTAAGTAAAGTGTTGACATGTGCATGACGCTTCACTCACGGATGTATCCCTGGGCTGGAGAAGACCAAGAGGAAGGCTTCGCTCAACCTGGACGTCCCTTGTCTCCGCAGAACTACTGGAACTTGCGCAGGAAAGGACAGCTTTTAGCCGTTTAGTCACCACAGTCACCTGATAGTCTTGAGGACATCTGTTGTTGTTATTGAAACTTTGTGACATATCTTAATATGTAACAAAAGTAAGAAGTACACAAATGCCCCAAATGGTAAAAGAGGGCCGGAAAAAAACGGCAACTCAGCTCAAAATATCAAAAGAAACGTTACACTTTTTCACATTATTAAACAGTTGACGTTGGAAATGTGGGTTAATTCTGATTTGCTAGCTAGCATCTAATTCGTTGGTAGTAGGAAATGATGCAGCCTATCTGTCTTTTACTTAGAAACAAAGGAAGCGATCAGCCTGACCAAGTTAGGTGAACTGTACTTAACACTTACGCATTATCGAATGTCAATTTCTGTAGCTCATTAGGCCCATCGATATAAAAACATGTGTTTCTTGCAAAGGAGTCATGATTAAGTTAAAAATAGTGTACAAGTCTTTATTTTTCTGTGGACTACTTTCAGATGGCGAATCTCCAAGCATTACTTGTCCAGCCAACCAGACAGTTGCCATGGATAGCGGCAAGAACTTCGCCACAGTTGTGTTACCATCCCCAGCCTCTTCCTTTGACAACTCCGGTGTTTACACCGTCACCATTGATGTAGATAAGAGATTTTATTTCGTCAACGACATTGTCTCCTTTGACCTTGCAGCATCTCCACATTTAGTGCAGTATACTGCCACTGACGATGCTGGTAATAGCGCCAGATGTGATATGTACATCATCGTGTGCGGTAAGTGGGCCTACATTACTTCCCTGCAATTTCTACATAAATTATGCAAAGCAAACTTTGGAAGTAGAGCGACTGGATAGACATTATATGGTAACCACAAGGAATAGATCTTAATTTTTTGGTTAGCCCTAGATATCACACACACCTCATGATGCACATGTACATGTGCTGCTAGCCTACTGGGAATGGTGATTGTACCATTTGTGTTTGTACTTGTGTTAGACCCACATTATTATCTAATATTTCAACATTGAAATAACATTGCCTATGTGTTCTAACCCAGATATCGATGATTGTGATCCCAACCCTTGTCTGAATGGAGGAACGAAGTCTGATGGCGTTGATAGCTACACATGCACATGTGCACCAGGATATACAGATAGCAACTGCACAACAGGTATATTTCCCCTTCATTTCCGTCTGCTTTCTACTGTATTCAGAACATCATTTCTCAACTTATATTGCCATGAATTGGTACTTTATTTGATATTTGATATTTCAGACATTGATGACTGTTTCCCTGATCCCTGTTTGAACAACGGAACCTGCTCAGATGGTGTCAACGGCTTCACTTGTGAATGTGCTGAAGGATTCGAAGGACAAAATTGTTCAACAAGTAAGCTAATTAAACCTTGTATCAGCTCTAAACAACCCTTCCGACTAATTTTGAAAAATGAGAAAACAAAATAGAATTGTTTTCACAAACCTTTTCTGTGTTGTCTTGTTTATAGACATTGATGACTGTCATTCACAAGTTTGTTTTAATGGGGGAACCTGTATAGACGGTATCGGCGGATACACCTGTGAATGTGTTGCAGGATTTGAAGGGGACGATTGCTTTACAAGTAAGTTAAAAGGAAATAAAATGAATAAATAAATAAACGTTACCTGTCAAGCCAAATAACAAAAGGCCATGGATAGCGGCAAGAACTTCGCCACGTGTTACCCGCCCCAGCCTCTTCCTTTGACAACTCAAGTGTTTACACCATCACCATTGATGTAGATAAGATCACATATATCGTCAACGACACTGTCTCATTCGACCTTGCAACATCCCCATGCACATTTGAGTGCAGTATACTAGCTGCCACTGACTGTTCTGGTAACAGCGCTACATGATTGTGTTTGGTATAAAGTGGGTCTACTTCTCAGTTTCTTGATTTTAAAAAACAAAACTTTGAAAGCAGAGTGACTGGATAGGCTTTTATGGTGACCACTAGAAGAAGATCTTACTTTGGTGGTAGGCTCCTAGATATCGCACACATATACCTTCTTTATATTGGGGACCAAATTATCAGCATACAGGATACGTACGGTGCTAGGAATGATGATTGTATCATCATTTGTGTTTGTATTTTACTAGACCCACATAATAAGCCAGTTCGGTATCTCGATGAAGTAGTCCATGTCAAAGGTCATTCGAGATAAAATCGCTGACATGATGATGCGCGATGTTACGTGCACGCCCATTCTGCTTGTATTTAACACGCAAGCGTCTTGCGCCTGTCTCCCTGCGCGTTCATGCACCTTCGATGAGCGTTCGATTTTCCCGAATGACCCGTGACAATGCCCGTGACCCATATCATTGTGCACATGCAAAGTTGAAATACCGAACTGGCTTATTGTCGTCATCATAATATTGAGATACATACCATCATTGCCCGTAAAGTGTGCCCGATGAATTGATCACACAAAATGGGGGTTTAATAAGCAACTTCATTCCAAGACTGATTCGTGACCATGTACCTCTATTTGATGCCAGATATCGATGATTGTGATCCCCACCCTTGTTTGAATGGAGGGACATGTTCCGATGCTCTTAATGGCTACACATGTACATGTGCACCAGGATATACAGATATTAACTGCTCAAAAGGTAATTTATTTCTTGATGATAAATGTAGAGAACCATTTTTTTTATCGTCAAATATGTTTTTCAATTTTAAGAGAACTTTATCCTCAGTGAAAATAAATATACATTGAGTACACCATCCATACAGTCCTATTTGTGAAATCCTTCATTCAACGAGGAGACTTAACATTCTGATTTGTCAACTTATAATAGAAACAAATTACGGATCAAAATGTTTTTGATTTTTGTATCTGTAGAAATTGACGAATGCAATCCTAACCCCTGCATGAACGGAGGAGTGTGTACTGATGGCATCAATGACTACACATGCACCTGTGCCCCGGGATACACTGATGATAACTGCACAACGGGTAATTGGTTTTTCAAAGGCATATAGGATTAATTACCAGGGAACAGACTTACCAATTAACTGAAGAAAAAAAAACTTGCTCAAAGTGAAGATAAGGATAGTACTAATTACTCTGTGAAATTGTTCCACCTTTGGTATCGTTCTGAAGAAAACAATTGAAGGTGGTTTAAAATAAGTGTGTACGCGGGCACACCCTGTTTGCATCTGTTAGCAACGGAATCTAGTTACAAGACCCAAAAGAAGTGTGCAGATTTAGTGGTTGTGCACTTTATTCAGATATTGAGCATTTTTGTTGCTTCAGACAAATTCATTGCACAAAAGCAAATGATCATAGTACGTACCTTAAATGTACAATCATTTCTTTAGTACATGTAATCCCATATCTTTTTTACATTATGTTTTCTTAGTTAAGGAAGTCCTTTGTTAGCACAACTTTGCAGGAATTAATTACATATCCAGAATCATGATTTTATTAATGAGCATTCAGAATCATTTCTTTTGATATGCATGCAATCACACCTTTCGAGTGCAACTTGTTTTCCTTTTTGAGGTCCGTCATTTCTGCAGCATAACTTTACAGAAATATAACTTCAGAATTAAATAGTCAAAATAAAATATGCCAAATTATGATTTTCGGGTATTGCCTAACAAAGTAGTTAACTAAGTTGATGTTGAATTTTGCATTTGACACTTAGACATCGATGATTGTGATCCCAACCCTTGTCTGAATGGAGGAACGTGTTCTGATGGCGTTGATAGCTACACATGCACATGTGCACCAGGATATATAGATAGCAACTGCACAACAGGTATATTTCCCCTTCATTTCCGTCTGCTTTCTACTGTATTCAGAACATCATTTCTCAACTTTTATTGCCATGAATTGGTACTTTATTTGATATTTGATATTTCAGACATTGATTACTGTTTCCCTGATCCCTGTTTGAACAACGGAACCTGCTCAGATGGTGTCAATGGCTTCACTTGTGAATGTCCTGAAGGATTCGAAGGACAAAATTGTTCAACAAGTAAGCTAATTAAACCTTGTATCAGCTCTAAACAACCCTTCCGACTAATTTTGAAAAATGAGAAAACAAAATAGAATTGTTTTCACAAACCTTTTCTGTGTTGTCTTGTTTATAGACATTGATGACTGTCATTCACAAGTTTGTTTTAATGGGGGAACCTGTATAGACGGTATCGGCGGATACACCTGTGAATGTGTTGCAGGATTTGAAGGGGACGATTGCTTTACAAGTAAGTTAAAAGGAAATAAAATGAATAAATAAATAAACATCACCTGTCCAGCTAAATAAAAAAAGGGAATGGATAGCGGCAAGAACTTCGCCACGTGTTACCCGCCCCAGCCTCTTCCTTTGACAACTCAAGTGTTTACACCATCACCATTGATGTAGATAAGATCACATATCGTCAACGACACTGTCTCATTCGACCTTGCAACATCCCCTTGCACATTTTAGTGCAGTGTACTAGCTGCCACTGACTGTTCTGGTAACAGCGCTACATGATTGTGTTTGGTATAAAGTGGGTCTACTTCTCAGTTTCTTGATTTTAAAAACCAAAACTTTGAAAGCAGAGTGACTGGATAGGCTTTTATGGTGACCACAAGCAGAAGATCTTACTTTGGTGGTAGGCTCCTAGATATCGCACACATATACCTTCTTTATATTGGGGACCAAATTATCAGCATACAGGATACGTACGGATACGTGCTAAGAATGATGATTGTATCATCATTTTTTTTTGTATTTTACTAGACCCACAAATAAGCCAGTTCGGTATCTCGATGAAGTAGTCCATGTCAAAGGTCATTCGGCATAAAATCACTGACATGATGATGCGTGATGTTACGTGGACGCCCATTCTGCTTGTATTAAACACGCAAGCGTCTTGCGCCTGTCTCCCTGCGCGTTCATGCACCTTCGATGAGCGTTCGATTTTCCCGAATGACCCGTGACCATGCCCGTGACCCATACTATTGTGCACATGCAAAGTTGAAATACAGAACTGGCTTATTGTCGTCATCTAAATATTGAGATACCATCATTGCCCGTAAAGTGTGCCCGATGAATTGATCACACAAAATGGGGGTTAATAATAAGCAACTTCATCCCAAGGCTGATTCTTGACCATGAACCTCTATTTGATGCCAGATATCGATGATTGTGATCCCCACCCTTGTTTGAATGGAGGGACATGTTCCGATGCTCTTAATGGCTACACATGCACATGTGCACCAGGATATACAGATATTAACTGCTCAAAAGGTAATATATTTCTTGATGATAAATGTAAAGAACCATTTTTTTTATCGTCAAATATGTTTTTCAATTTTTAGAGAACTTTATCCTCAGTGAAAATGAATATACATTGAGTACACCATCCATACAGTCCTATTTGTGAAATCCTTCATTCAACGAGGAGACTTAACATTCTGATTTGTCAACTTATAATAGAAACAAATTACGGATCAAAATGTTTTTGATTTTTGTATCTGTAGAAATTGACGAATGCAATCCTAACCCCTGCATGAACGGAGGAGTGTGTACTGATGGCATCAATGACTACACATGCACCTGTGCCCCGGGATACACTGATGATAACTGCACAACAGGTAATTTGTTTTTCAAAGGCATATAGGATTAATTACCAGGGAACAGACTTAACAATTTAATGAAATAAAAAAAACCTGCTCAAAGTGAAGATAAGTGTAACCGGGGAGAGTGGAATTTAGTTTGTTAAAATGGGGCACTCTCCTTATGTCCGAGTGGTTCCACTAAAAAATGATTTGGGAAGAGCGAACTTTCTGTAGTCTCACAAATATGAAATGGTTTTATTTATAATACAAATAGAGACAATATATACAAATTATTAGATATTTACACAAGAATTATATTAGAAACTTGGTTGGGTATATAAAAACGACAGTCAAAAGGGAAATGGCTAATGAAGTAGCTCCAAGGATATTAATCACTTGGGAAGATCTACGTTCATGCCTACTCCGTGTCCGATGTGAAAATCGAAGTAGAAGCAGCAAAAAATAGATGAAACTATTCTACTGCAGTATAGGGAGCCTCTCTCAAAATTTCAATAAAAGTGGAGAGTGTAAGCGCTCGTAATAGATGGTCTGCTCGCAACAAGATGTTGGATCGAAATCAACAATATTCCGCAGCAGGCCCTACAAGAAAAATATACCGAAACGCCCGGAATGTCAACTATTCCTCTTAAACAAAGCGCGGTGGAATGCAAAATGCACGCTCGCTACGCCCATCGCATAGTTAAGCAAAATTCTAGGCGGCGCGCGCTGTTAAAAAAAAAGTTTAGTTGGCCGCGAGAGGGCGCTTGTCAAAAAGCATGATCGGGGAGAGTGGAATTAGTTAGTTTTTAAAATGTGGCACTCTCCTTATGTCCGAGTGGTTCCACTAAAAAATGATTTGGGAAGAGCGAACTTTCTGTAGTCTCACAAATATGAAATGGTTTTATTTATAATACAAATAGAGACAATATATACAAATTATTAGATATTTACACAAGAATTATATTAGAAACTTGGTTGGGTATATAAAAACAAAACTTTGTTGGGTCTATAAAAACAAAACATGTGAGCAGCCATTGCGATCATGCTTTTGCCTAGCGCCCTCTCGCGGCCAACTAAACTTTTTTTTAACAGCGCGCGCCGCCTAGAATTTTGCTAAACTATGCGATGGGCGTAGCGAGCATGCGGGTTTAGCATTCCTCCCCGCTTTGTTTAAGAGGAATAGTTGACATTCCGGGCGTTTCGGTATAGTTTTCTTGTAGGGCCTGCTGCGGAATATTGTTGATTTCGATCCAACATCTTGTTGCGAGCAGACCATCTATTACGAGCGCTTACACTCTCCACTTTTATTGAAATTTTGAGAGAGGCTCCCTATACTGCAGTAGAATAGTTTCATCTATTTTTTGCTGCTTCTACTTCGATTTTCACATCGGACACGGAGTAGGCATGAACGTAGATCTTCCCAAGTGATTAATATCCTTGGAGCTACTTCATTAGCCATTTCCCTTTTGACTGTCGTTTTTATATACCCAACCAAGTTTCTAATATAATTCTTGTGTAAATATCTAATAATTTGTATATATTGTCTCTATTTGTATTATAAATAAAACCATTTCATATTTGTGAGACTACAGAAAGTTCGCTCTTCCAAAATCATTTTTTAGTGGAACCACTCGGACATAAGGAGAGTGCCACATTTTAAAAACTAACTAATTCCACTCTCCCCGGTTACACTCTATTTGACTGCCGTTTAGCCCTGATTTAATTTATCAAATTTCGCTCCCAAATCTAAAATAAAGTGGATAGCAAAGCTATCCTGCCGACTACGCCAAGTGTAACCGGGGAGAGTGGAATTTAGTTTGTTAAAATGGGGCACCGTTTGCAGTCTGCCGTTTAGCCCTGATTTAATTTATCAAATTTCGCTCCCAAATCTAAAATAAAGTGGATAGCAAAGCTATCCTGCCGACTACGCCAAGTGTAACCGGGGAGAGTGGAATTTAGTTTGTTAAAATGGGGCACCGTTTGCAGTCATCAGCCGACATTTGAAGCCAAAAAAAAAAAAAAAGGTATAAAAAAAAAAAAAAGCTGCGTCGCAACACCACTTTTTGGGCAAGCTCCATACCAGAAAACCGGAGATTTATTGTTTTTGGCTTAAGCACTGCACTGCTAAATCTCAATGTTTCTTTTCATAGATGCTAAATATATATACAAAAAAACGACAGTCAAATATACCCAACCAAGTTTCTAATATAATTCTTGTGTAAATATCTAATAATTTGTATATATTGTCTCTATTTGTATTATAAATAAAACCATTTCATATTTGTGAGACTACAGAAAGTTCGCTCTTCCCAAATCATTTTTTAGTGGAACCACTCGGACATAAGGAGAGTGCCACATTTTAAAAACTAACTAATTTGATTTAATTTATCAAATTTCGCTCCCAAATCTAAAATAAAGTGGATAGCAAAGCTATCCTGCCGACTACGCCAAGTGTAACCGGGGAGAGTGGAATTTAGTTTGTTAAAATGGGGCACCGTTTGCAGTCATCAGCCGACATTTGAAGCCAAAAAAAAAAAAAAGGTATAAAAAAAAAAAAAAGCTGCGTCGCAACACCACTTTTTGGGCAAGCTCCATACCAGAAAACCGGAGAGAGTGGAATTTAGTTTGTTAAAATGGGGCACTCTCCTTATGTCCGAGTGGTTCCACTAAAAAATGATTTGGGAAGAGCGAACTTTCTGTAGTCTCACAAATATGAAATGGTTTTATTTATAATACAAATAGAGACAATATATACAAATTATTAGATATTTACACAAGAATTATATTAGAAACTTGGTTGGGTGTATAAAAACAGAACTTTGTTGGGTGTATAAAAAACGACAGTCAAAAGGGAAATGGAATTTAGTTTGTTAAAATGGGGCACTCTCCTTATGTCCGAGTGGTTCCACTAAAAAATGATTTGGGAAGAGCGAACTTTCTGTAGTCTCACAAATATGAAATGGTTTTATTTATAATACAAATAGAGACAATATATACAAATTATTAGATATTTACACAAGAATTATATTAGAAACTTGGTTGGGTATATAAAAACAAAACTTTGTTGGGTCTATAAAAACAAAACTTTGTTGGGTCTATAAAAACGACAGTCAAAAGGGAAATGGGCTAATGAAGTAGCTCCAAGGATGGTATCTGAAATGCATAAAAACAATAAATGACTAATGAATTATGGGAATAACTTCCAGATCCAACTACAGTATTAACGATATTTAATTCAAAGAAATTTGGGAAAAACTGGTTTCCTTATTTGTAAATCAAAGAAAACTTTTTTATAAGTACATCAGTCAGTGAACAGAATGTTGCATAAAAAAAATGACTAATGCACAAAAAGATTCAGGCATAAACAGCTTCAGTCATAAAAGAGTTAAATATCAGACAAGGGATTTACTCACCACTTGGGATGGTCTACGCTCATGCCTACTCCGTGTCCGATGTTGAAATCGATGTAGAAGCAGCAAAAATATTGTAAAATGCAATGCCGGCAATGCCGGATATAAAATTAAATTGCTGCTATCGGGGAGCCGCACCCAAAACTTGCAGAAAAAGTGGAGTGTGCAATGCTCGCTGTAAATGCTGGTCGCAAAGCAGGAGCAGAACCAGGCAGATAGATGTCAACCCAAAGCAGAGTTGGAACGGAATCAACAATATTTCGCAGCAGGCCCTACAAGAAAACTATACCGAAACGCCCGGAATGTCAACTATTCCTCTTAAACAAAGCGGGGAGGAATGCTAAACCCGCATGCTCGCTACGCCCATCGCATAGTTTAGCAAAATTCTAGGCGGCGCGCGCTGTTAAAAAAAAGTTTAGTTGGCCGCGAGAGGGCGCTAGGCAAAAGCATGATCGCAATGGCTGCTCACATGTAAATCTACACAAACACGAAGTTACAAAAGTTATGAAATAATGCTGGAGTAAGGAACCAGTCGGGGAAAAGTAAGTACTGCAACCCGACCTGGTTACACTCACCCCCTAATTTTAAAGAAAAAAGAATTTTTATAGAAGGGAATTTCATAGTAACTAACGGTTAAAAGGAATATCCTATTTATAAAAAACTACTACACCAGCTCCTCGAAATAAACTTGGACAATAATAATATGTTCAAATGGTCGAGAGCGCGATAAAAGATTGTCCACCACTAGTATTTGACTAGTGAATTAGAGATTACCTCATTATGGACCTTAAATCTAAAACTCCCAATTTGGCCATAATTAGACATATGAAAGTCCGCGTAAAAAAATGAAGATTTGGCTATGAGTTTCTACAAATAAAAAATCCCTAAAAAAACATCCACAATATCAGTATTAATTAAAATTGCAAGATAGTGTTGAATGACGGGATAGAGAAAAATGGCAAAAATATGGTCCACCTCTAGCATGTCGCTAGAGAAATAGAGATTATCTCCAATGGACCCAATAACCTAATTCTCAATATATAATCATACTACACTAATCTTACTATAAAAACCCTAGTATCTGGCTACACTTAATGCATTTTAAAAAACAAAATCCTGAACATCTATTTACAGGGCGTCTTTCAACCCCAACCTAAACATGTCTATTTATCCTAGTTGGGTTAGCTAATCCCAACAGCGGTTAAAACGAAATTAGGATAATAAGAGAATAAAATTTACCAAATACTGGCTTTACTATCAATACAGATATAATGGAATCTACATGTACAATGTGAAATAAAAGATATGGCGTCTGCATTGAAGATTTATCATAGATTAAAGATGTAAAAGGTTTATTCGCCTAAAGCGCTAATTAAATCATTTGCAAAATAGTTTTTTTTCTGCAGCTATGATTTAAATATATTGCTACAAAAAGAATCAGTATACTGGCAATGGGACGATAAAAAAAGGTAAAAACATGTACAAAAATGTTAGGGTTTAGCTGAAGACGCGCGTACGCAGTCAAGCAACGACAACCTAATATGCACGCTTTAGCGTCTAGCAGCTGCAGTGCACCCATAATATCCACTATATAATACCCAAGCACGGTTGAATCACGTGCAACTAAAATGAAAAGTGAATCACGGGGTGGAAGAAGGGATGGATGGCATGAACGTAGTCACCCAAGTGGTAGTATGTCCCAAATCTGCATGCACAGAGAAATATAAAAGAAAAGACAACTGCCTCAAGGGCGTTAAAAATGTTCAACAAGAATCATTGTAACAGAGCTCCATTAAAAATACCAAGAATTCCAAGCACTTCCTCAATAAGTCAAAAAGGTAATGTTGAAATAAATACAACAATTACTATGTGAGGAAGAATATTGAGCTATAAAGGAGCAGTGCATATTGAAATAACAATTAAAATACTAAAAATAAAAAAGCTTTGGATCCGTCCAACTCTACGCTACAGTGTGTATAAGCAGGCACAATATGTGTTTCACAGGTAAAATTTTGTTGTGTTCTTAGTCTTTTTTCTAGATTTTCAGAGAACAATAATAATGCAATGAATCACAACAAGCAAGAAATATTACCACCACCAGCAAAAATATGAAAATGAAGCTATTACAGCCCGCTGCAAAGACCAATCATTGCTGTCAGATCGATGGACGGCCACCAAGATGGAAGGAGTTCTGTTTTTTGGATTTCGCCAAAAGAAGACAGTTCAGTGGCGTCTAATGGCAGCAGATGACACACTCCTGCAGCTCACTCTGGAGGTCAGTCAGTGGTTCTCAGCTGGCAGTTCTTCTTTCAAGATGGCACCAAGGAAGGAAGGCGGCAGGAACCCGGGCCGGTACACCCCTCCTTAGTCTACCTGGTCTGGTACCCATTCGTCATGGGCAGAACGACGCCACAGAGCTCCCGGTCTCATCAGTGCCAGACGAATTCCCTATATATTTGACTGCCGTTTAGCCCTGATTTAATTTATCAAATTTCGCTCCCAAATCTAAAATAAAGTGGATAGCAAAGCTATCCTGCCGACTACGCCAAGTGTAACCGGGGAGAGTGGAATTTAGTTTGTTACAATGGGGCACTCTCCTTATGTCCGAGTGGTTCCACTAAAAAATGATTTGGGAAGAGCGAACTTTCTGTAGTCTCACAAATATGAAATGGTTTTATTTATAATACAAATAGAGACAATATATACAAATTATTAGATATTTACACAAGAATTATATTAGAAACTTGGTTGGGTATATAAAAACAAAACTTTGTTGGGTCTATAAAAACAAAACTTTGTTGGGTCTATAAAAACGACAGTCAAAAGGGAAATGGGCTAATGAAGTAGCTCCAAGGATGGTATCTGAAATGCATAAAAACAATAAATGACTAATGAATTATGGGAATAACTTCCAGATCCAACTACAGTATTAACGATATTTAATTCAAAGAAATTTGGGAAAAACTGGTTTCCTTATTTGTAAATCAAAGAAAACTTTTTTATAAGTACATCAGTCAGTGAACAGAATGTTGCATAAAAAAAATGACTAATGCACAAAAAGATTCAGGCATAAACAGCTTCAGTCATAAAAGAGTTAAATATCAGACAAGGGATTTACTCACCACTTGGGATGGTCTACGCTCATGCCTACTCCGTGTCCGATGTTAAAATCGATGTAGAAGCAGCAAAAATATTGTAAAATGCAATGCCGGCAATGCCGGATATAAAATTAAATTGCTGCTATCGGGGAGCCGCACCCAAAACTTGCAGAAAAAGTGGAGTGTGCAATGCTCGCTGTAAATGCTGGTCGCAAAGCAGGAGCAGAACCAGGCAGATAGATGTCAACCCAAAGCAGAGTTGGAACGGAATCAACAATATTTCGCAGCAGGCCCTACAAGAAAACTATACCGAAACGCCCGGAATGTCAACTATTCCTCTTAAACAAAGCGGGGAGGAATGCTAAACCCGCATGCTCGCTACGCCCATCGCATAGTTTAGCAAAATTCTAGGCGGCGCGCGCTGTTAAAAAAAAGTTTAGTTGGCCGCGAGAGGGCGCTAGGCAAAAGCATGATCGCAATGGCTGCTCACATGTAAATCTACACAAACACGAAGTTACAAAAGTTATGAAATAATGCTGGAGTAAGGAACCAGTCGGGGAAAAGTAAGTACTGCAACCCGACCTGGTTACATAAGGATAGTACTAATTACTCTGTGAAATTGTTCCACCTTTGGTATCGTTCTGAAGAAAACAATTGAAGGTGGTTTAAAATAAGTGTGTACGCGGGCACACCCTGTTTGCATCTGTTAGCAACGGAATCTAGTTACAAGACCCAAAAGAAGTGTGCAGATTTAGTGGTTGTGCACTTTATTCAGATATTGAGCAATTGTGTTGCTTCAGACAAATTCATTGCACAAAAGCAAATGATCATAGTACGTACCTTAAATGTAGAATCATTTCTTTAGTACATGTAATCCCATATCTTTTTTACATTATGTTTTCTTAGTTAAGGAAGTCCTTTTTAGCACAACTTTGCAGGAATTAATTACATATCCAGAATCATGATTTTATTAATGAGCATTCAGAATCATTTCTTTTGATATGCATGCAATCACACCTTTCGAGTGCAACTTGTTTTCCTTTTTGAGGTCCGTCATTTCTGCAGCATAACTTTACAGAAATATAACTTCAGAATTAAATAGTCAAAATAAAATATGCCAAATTAGGATTTTCGGGTATTGCCTAACAAAGTAGTTGACTAAGTTGATGTTGAATTTTGCATTTGACACTTAGACATCGATGATTGTGATCCCAACCCTTGTCTGAATGGAGGAACGTGTTCTGATGGCGTTGATAGCTACACATGCACATGTGCACCAGGATATATAGATAGCAACTGCACAATAGGTATATTTCCCCTTCATTTCCGTCTCCTTTCTACTGTATTCAGAACATCATTTCTCAACTTATATTGCCATAAATTGGTACTTTATTTGATATTTGATATTTCAGACATTGATGACTGTTTCCCTGATCCCTGCTTGAACAACGGAACCTGCTCAGATGGTGTCAATGGCTTCACTTGTGAATGTGCTGAAGGATTCGAAGGACAAAATTGTTCAACAAGTAAGCTAATTAAACCTTGTATCAACTCTAAACGACCCTTTCGACTAATTTTGAAAAATGAAAAAAACAAAATAGAATTGTTTTCATAAACCTTTTCTGTGTTGTCTTGTTTATAGACATTGATGACTGTCATTCACAAGTTTGTTTTAATGGGGGAACCTGTATAGACGGTATCGGCGGATACACCTGTGAATGTGTTGCAGGATTTGAAGGGGACGATTGCTTTACAAGTAAGTTAAAAGGAAATAAAATGAATAAATAAATAAACGTTACCTGTCAAGCCAAATAACAAAAGGCCATGGATAGCGGCAAGAACTTCGCCACGTGTTACCCGCCCCAGCCTCTTCCTTTGACAACTCGAGTGTTTACACCATCACCATTGATGTAGATAAGATCACATTTATCGTCAACGACACTGTCTCATTCGACCTTGCAACATCCCCATGCACATTTTAGTGCAGTACACTAGCTGCCACCGACTGTTCTGGTAACAGCGCTACATGATTGTGTTTGGTATCAAGTAGGTCTACTTCTCAGTTTCCTGATTTTAAAAACCAAAACTTTGAAAGCAGAGTGACTGGATAGGCTTTTATGGTGACCACTAGAAGAAGAACTTACTTTGGTGGTAGGCTCCTAGATATCGCACACATATACCTTCTTTATATTGGGGACCAAATTATCAGCATATAGGATACGTACGGTGCTAGGAATGATGATTGTATCATCATTTGTTTTTGTATTTTACTAGACCCACATAATAAGCCAGTTCGGTATCTCGATGAAGTAGTCCATGTCAAAGGTCATTCGGGATAAAATCACTGACATGATGATGCGCGAAGTTACGTGGATGCCCATTCTGCTTGTATTTAACACGCAAGCGTCTTGCGCCTGTCTCCCTGCGCATTCATGCACCTTCGATGAGCGTTCGATTTTCCCGAATGATCCGTGACCATGCCCGTGACCCATATCATTGTGCACATGCAAAGTTGAAATACCGGACTGGCTTATTGTCGTCATCTAAATATTGAGATAAACCATCATTGCCCGTAAAGTGTGCCCGATGAATTGATCACACAAAATGGGGGTTTAATAAGCAACTTCATTCCAAGGCTGATTTGTGACCATGTACCTCTATTTGATGCCAGATATCGATGATTGTGATCCCCACCCTTGTTTTAATGGAGGGACATGTTCTGATGCTCTTAATGGCTACACATGCACATGTGCACCAGGATATACAGATATTAACTGCTCAAAAGGTAATATATTTCTTGATGATCAATGTAAAGAACCATTTTTTTTATCGTCAAATATGTTTGTCAATTTTTAGAACTTTATCCTCAGTGAAAATAAATAGACATTGAGTACACCATCCATACAGTCCTATTTGTGAAATCGTTCATTCAACGAGGAGACTTAACATTCTGATTTGTCAACTTATAATAGAAACAAATTACGGATCAAAATGTTTTTGATTTTTGTATCTGTAGAAATTGACGAATGCAATCCTAACCCCTGCATGAACGGAGGAGTGTGTACTGATGGCATCAATGACTACACATGCACCTGTGCCCCGGGATACACTGATGATAACTGCACAACAGGTAATTTGTTTTCAAAGGCAAATAGGATTAATTACCAGGGAACAGACTTAACAATTTAATTTAATAAAAAAAACCTGCTCAAAGTGAAGATAAGGATAGTACTAAGTACTCTGTGAAATTGTTCCACCTTTGGTATCGTTCTGAAGAAAACAAGTGAAGGTGGTTTAAAATAAGTGTGTACGCGGGCACACCCTGTTTGCAACGGAATCTAGTTACAAGACCCTAAAGAAGTGTGCACGTTTTCTCTGTTTCTCAAAATACAGCCGATGAGCTAAAACTGCCACAGATTAAGTGGTTGTGCACTTTATTCAGATATTGACCAATTGTGTTGCTTCAGACAAATTCATTGCACAAAAGCAAATGATCATAGTACGTACCTTAAATGTACAATCATTTCTTTAGTACATGTAATCCCATATCTTTTTTACATTATGTTTTCTTAGTTAAGGAAGTCCTTTTTTAGCACAACTTTGCAGGAATTAATTACATATCCAGAATCATGATTTTATTAATGAGCATTCAGAATCATTTCTTTTGATATGCATGCAATCACACCTTTCGAGTGCAACTTGTTTTCCTTTTTGAGGTCCGTCATTTCTGCAGCATAACTTTACAGAAGTATAACTTCAGAATTAAATAGTCAAAATAAAATATGCCAAATTAGGATTTTCGGGTATTGCCTAACAAAGTAGTTGACTAAGTTGATGTTGAATTTTGCATTTGACACTTAGACATCGATGATTGTGATCCCAACCCTTGTCTGAATGGAGGAACGTGTTCTGATGGCGTTGATAGCTACACATGCACATGTGCACCAGGATATATAGATAGCAACTGCACAACAGGTATATTTCCCCTTCATTTCCGTCTGCTTTCTACTGTATTCAGAACATCATTTCTCAACTTATATTGCCATGAATTGGTACTTTATTTGATATTTGATATTTCAGACATTGATGACTGTTTCCCTGATCCCTGTTTGAACAATGGAACCTGCTCAGATGGTGTCAATGGCTTCACATGTGAATGTGCTGAAGGATTCGAAGGGCGAAATTGTTCAACAAGTAGGCCTAAGCTACTTAAATTAGAATCAACTTCAAACAACACTTTAGTCACTTTTTAATCGGATAGGCCTATAAGAAAATTGGGGGAGTTTGAAAGGTACATTATGATCATCTGCATTTGTGCGTTTGTCGTTTGAGCAGTAAAATTGCTCAAAATATTAAGCAGGGAGCATATGACACTATAAACCTGTTGAAGTTTATCAGAATAAATGATTCTACACATTTTTAGAAAACGGGAAAACATAGGCACATGTTTGGAGTCTCCTAAGTGGATTTTGTTGCTATAGCAGGCGAGGTTGGGGGGGGGGGTGGTTCAACCCCCCGGCCAGCTGTGTCAAATTTTGTTTCATAGAAATTCATTAAAAATAATGCAACCCCTCCCCTGCTCTGACACCCAAAAATGCTTGCTGTTGATAATGTACGTCTGTGCAAAAAATATGGGTTAGAGCCACCTTGATTAGGGGGTATTTGTACAGTACAAGTATTCCGTAACAATTATAGTGTTAATAACCATCGGTTTAAACAGAGCCCTCATTGAAAGTATGGCACGAGCCCCCCCCCCCCCCCCCCCCCTCCCTATTAATTTTTGGAGGCCAAGTGTCCGGAGAACAAAAAAAAATTCTACATTTTGACATTTTTTTTACTGATGAACCCTCCCCCCCCCCCTGCGAAAATTCCTGGATCAGCCCTTGTATAGCGCTAATTTCCGTTGCAAAAATCGCCGTTTGGTATTTTGAGTTGCATTCTTTTGTCACTACAATATCTAAGTCAGCACAATCGACATAAATCTCATTTATACAGTTAGTGTACATGTTGATATCGAGGTCCATGTAGATGGGTAGTCCCACTGAATGAGGTCTATATTTAGAAAAGAAAAAAAACAACGTGCGCGGCTTCGTGAAACCAGTCCTATATATTCACTAACCTTTCTTGGATGTCGATGCTTTTTACAGACATAGATGACTGTCATGCACAAGCTTGTTTTAACGAGGGAACCTGTATAGACGGTATCAACGGATACACCTGTGAATGTCTTGCAGGATTTGAAGGGCGTGATTGCTTAGCAAGTAAGTTAAAAAGAATAAAATGAAACAAGGTAAATAAAGGAATAAATAAATAAGCCAAGAATGACGACCCTCGATACATATTTCATATACTGGGTGGTCCAAAAAAACCCGGAACCTCATACATCCACTACTCTGAGATTCAAACCACCTGTACCAATTGATAGAGAATCCTTTTAGAAGGATTATGATACCAAAATATCCCGATTCGGTCCATGCAGTAGTTTTTACTGCAGAGACTATTTTGTGAAGCGCACTTCTTCCACGCGGGTTTTATTACATAACAATCCCTCTATCAATTACAAGGTAAGTCAAATTCCCGGGCAGGGTTTAGTTATTTATCAGGGCAAAAATGTCCCCACGTACCTTGCTTCACAAAACAGGCTCTAGAACAAAAACTACTGTGCCGAATCGAGTGACCTTGGTTTCATTTTTCTGATAAAAAGATTCTCCATGCATTGGTATACGTGGTTTGAGTCTCAGGGAAGTGGAAGTATGATGGTTCCAGTTTTTATGGACCACCCTGTAACCTGTATATATATATACAATTTAAGTGTAACATTTAATTCTTTTGAAAATTGTAACAGCAGTGTGTGTTTTTTCTTCAGATTTAGATGGAAATTTTAACAATTTTTCAACAATTCCCGAACTTACAACCTCCAGTAAGGGCCTTAATTCCTTCTTGTAAAACGTAGCACAATCATTGTTTCCCGCTTGCATCATGTTTCATTAATAATTCACCCTTGTTTATCTATTTTACTTAACTCAGATTTGTATCAACTGATATTGATAACGAAACGGGACCCATGATATGTAATGCGATCAAGCTAAATGAGTTGTTTGTCGGGAACTTTCATTTGGAGATTCAGGCCAAACTAGGGCCACTTCATCACATCTCTTGGTGTTCCAACTTCAATAATTATTTAACGAAAGACGATATCAGCATGCGGTTTTCACAGCAGTAATGCTGAGATTGTGCTCTTTTCAAAACTGTAAAAAAAATGTGATCAGGGTCGAAAAACGACTCATTTAGCTTGATCGCATCACATACGAGTCAAATTAAACTTTTCGTGTTTCTTTGGGTGATTTTATCACAGACATTGACGACTGTGATCCAGATCCCTGTATGAATGGCGCCACCTGTTCCGATGGCATTAACAGGTTCACCTGTGCATGCGCTGAAGGATTCAGTGGAGAGAATTGCTCAATAAGTAAGTGCCAAATGTTAAAGAACAGTCCATTTCATTTTATTTTATTTAATATCTAGGACGTACGATATAAAAATTACAAATACACAAATTAAAACTTAAAAGAATACAAAGACATTAGGATTACTCTCTCACTATAATCATTATACAAAAAATACAGTACCACTAGACCCCATTGACAAACGCTTTGCTGTAAAGTGAACCAAATTGCTATCTGAAAGCTCTCCTGGCATGGAATACACCATAGAGCTAGGACCCAAGGAGTTTGAACTCCAAGACATCAAAAGTACAAGGATGATCGCCGACACTGCCCTGCGGCACAATCGCTCTGTTTTACGACCCTTATCTAAACACCAATTAGCCTAGCTGTATGAATAAACACAAATGATAACAACAAACACATCACAAAAATGCAACATCACAACTTGCTAGGAATAAACCAATCATTGAGCCCCGTGCACTGGGCATGTGGGAAACAACACGTAAGCCTTGTGCACGCATGTCACTTTTGTACGAGCATGTAAGCCATCAAGCATGGCTGTGATTGGTCAAATTGAACCCCAGGGGGCCGGGTTTAATAGATCAGTTAATTCCAAGTTGAGTCTTGATATTCTTCAACCAAATCGGTTCAATTTACAATTGGTATTTCAAATCTGACAATTTGCAGATATTGATGACTGTAATCCTAATCCGTGTATGAATGATGGAACCTGCATTGATGGTACCAGCAGCTTTGTATGTGAATGTGCGAAAGGATTTGAGGGAAAGGACTGTGAAATAAGTAAGTTGATCCATAAAACATAATATGATTTTAAATATTTTTGAAGTAGGTTACCTGAAACCATATGAACGAGTGACAAAAGAAGCAAAGTTTAACATAAGAAAATAACTTTTGGAAGTCAGAAAACCTTCTGCAGGTTGCAACTCAACAGAGAAATGAATTGGGTCCCCTTTACCTAGTTTACCCTAAAATTTCGAAAACAAGAAATTTAACAACTAACATACCAGGGACAAACAAATAGATTAACCCTTGAAGCCCTTGTATTACATTGTACTATACAGGGTGAGTAAACCAAAAAACGAAACCCAAATGTCGGGACTGTTGTTTAAGTGAAGCTCTGCATGTAGCACTTTCAAAATCTAGGATATGAAAGTCCAATTCATAAGCTTTCTTTTAGTACAAGAATCATTCAAATTGCTTATGTACTTTTTAAGATACGGAATTGTAAACACAACCACTGTTTAAAGTTCTGTCCACGGATCACAAAGAATGTGTTCGTTCTTTCAGCAAAACAAAAACAATTCACACACATCCCTTTGTGGTTTGTTTTCGTTTCGCTGAAGAATACTTACCTTTTTGTGATCCATGGACAGAACTTTAAAACGGTGGTTGTGTTTAAAATTCCGTAACTTTTAAATTAAATAAGTGATTTGAATGATTCTTGTACTAAAAGAAAGCTTATGAATTGGGCTTTCATATCCTAGATTTTGAAAGTGCTACATGCAGAACTTCACTAAAATAATGGTCCCGACATTTGGGTTTCGTATTTTTAACTCACCCTGTACTGTATTATTTTACTCCTTGGTCAATCCAAGCAGCCAAGCTGGGGCAGTTTGCAGCGGCATGGGTGGTGTATGGAGTGATGGTAACAGGTAGGGCACTCTGGGGCTGTGCTGGGACTAATTGGTTACAAAGACACACACATTTCTTATGTTTTACTTGCAGATATTGATGACTGTAGTCCAGACACCTGTTTGAACAATGGAACATGTAGGGATGAAATTAATGGATACACATGTGATTGTGTTGCCGGGTTCCAAGGAGTAAATTGCTCGATGAGTAAGCTATACAAAAGAGATTGAAAGGGGCATAGGATCATTTGCTTTTATCCCCAAACTAATATATCGAAATATATCCCAAACAAAATCTAACTATTAACCCTAAAAGGGCCAGAGAACAGGTCAAGGGGGGGGGGGGGGGGAGCGGCATATCCACCCACCCCCAGACCTTTTCCCCGATACTTTGTTTTCACTAGCTTTCCTGACTTTTTAGCCTCGAGTCTTGCACATCTTTTGATACCAAAAACATAAAATTCCGACCATGGGTTCTCGCGCCGTGAAAACTGAAATTCCCCATTATGTATTGTACACAAAGCAGATTATGCATGGGTGCATATGAATAATTAATTGGCTAATAATTCAAAAACCCTTTGACCTATAGTCATGAAATTTCTTGGGTATGTTCATAACTAAGTTGTTCTATGCATGCATAAAGTTTGATAATTTTTCGTCACTCAAAAGCCGAGATTTGGGGGGTAGGCGGAATCAGCCCCCCCCCCCCCCCCCCCCCTCCAGTGAGATGGTCAAAATAACCTGGCTCCTTTAGGGTTAAAGATCGTACTGCTAAACACCCTGTGAAATAACTCCGTCTTGCTTGCTGTCATTTCAAAGAAAGCAAGTCATGTAGGGAATTTCCAAAGATCAGTCAATTGACTGAGTTTTGGAGCTAAAGAGTGCTAATGACAAAATCATGTTTTCAGAACATTTTTTCACTGTTTTCTCAAAAAGTGTACAAAACATCAATAGGTTAGGTTTTGAACTTTCTTCTTGAGTGAGTGGTACATGTTAATATTGGAAATGAAAAAACATGAAAAGCAAATGATCCTATGTCTGTTATCTTAATTTTTAAAATTAACTTGACAATAACTAGACCACAAGTGCCAGTGTTTTAGTAACAGAGGATGAATAATATAACAAAACAATGCCTTTAAGTGTGCGTTTATGAGAAGACCATGCAAAATCCTGAAAAATCGACAAGGTGGGGGGTCAGCGAATTTAGTTCAAATCTTGGCCATTTGATCCCCACCTGAGACGATACCACTCGGTGGAGTAGCTCGATAAATAATCACACGGTGGCCGAGTACGGGGCACCAACAATTTTGAGCAAAAAGGGTGACTTCCGGGGAGTAAATTTGTGTTGTTTCTGGTGTAAAGTTATAGCCTCGTTTATACCCTTAAACTAAATCGTTTACTGTCGACCTACATATCAAAAGAAAGGGTTTAATCTCCTCTAAACGATGAAATATAAATCTTTGATATGCAAGCATTCACTGCGGAGATATAGGCGTAAGAAAAACACGTATCAGCTCTATTACGAAATGAAGTCCTTTACGCGGTAAACCATAACTTAATTAATGCAGGGCTGAGAGTCAACAAACTTGGAGGAAATATAGTTCAGATATCCGACTACAATAATAAAAAATAAAAAAACTGTCAGCTCTTCTTGTTTTTGTTTGCTCACGGTCAACAAAGTTGAAAAATTCCTAATTTTCAAGACCAAACCTACATAGCCCCCTAGACAGTTCCGAGTGCAATTGGTTGCCCTTAATTGACATTTTGCATGAATTGTTGTAAGAGCATAACAAAATGTACATTTTGCAGACTTCACCTATTGGGTGGGTGGGTGAGTGGGCTACCTTTGGTGGTGCGCACTGATCCGGTAGGAGGGGAACGTCCTGTTGCCGCCCACCCAGTTAGCGCGCGGTATCGAAAGAGGGCGCCCTCGCATTACATTACCGTCAAAATGGCAGCCATGGACATGCCGTCTGTGCGGCTGCAATGTGATTTTAGTAATTTTGAGTATAGCAAAGCCATCGAATGTGGTGTAAATCCCTCTTATCTGCGCGAAGTAAATACAGTGCAACTTAATCGATGCACAAAAGACATACGGAGCCATTTGCAGAAGTGGAAAGTCGCTGCATATGATGTGAATGTCGAGTGGAAACTGATCCTCCTGCGATGTGGTTTGTTCGACGTCGATGCATACACTGATAAGACAATACGTCCAGCGCATAGATACACGTTAGGGTTGAGTTGGACATCATCAAGGAAATGTTGTCATCCACTCCATAAAAGGAAAGGCAAACCATTCCGTGGTGTGAATAAAGCAACTAGCCGTGAGATCATAGATGTTTGATCGATGGGGTACCATGATCACTGTTGGAACAGGTAAGAAGACAGAAATCAAACAAAAATACATTTTTGAAAATTGAAATGAATTAATCATGGTCAAGGTCCATTTCTGATCAACTGACTTTGTTCCTGAGTAGGTTATTTCAAATAAATCCCTTATCATGCAGTTGACTTGGGACCAGTGAAATTTATTATTGTGTGAAAAATTAATACTGGTTGTCACAGCTCTGGACCACACACATGGTTTTCGGCAGTGGACACACATGGTGGATATTTAGCCGGAGCTGGATTTTGAATTTATTTGTTTTTATATAAAGAAAGTTGGAACTGCACTGAACATGCGCAGTTTGGGTAATAAAACATATATATTTTTTTTGCACTTACATTTTTTTTTTTTTACTTTTATTCACGAGATGTGACTCATCAGACCATTTACAACTTAAAGAACAATTTCATATTTGTTTCCCCTTTTATACAAATCCTCCAGAGCCAGCCACATCAGAAAAAGAAAAAGTAATAAGTGCAATTAAATACAGGCAATATAAAATAATAAAAGAAGATTTCTTATTTTTTATTTATTTATTTATTTTTTTTGGGGGGGGGGGGAATTTATGACATGGGTTTTGTTCAAGGCATCTATTGCTCAATATTGTTGGCTACATACGCCCCGCTTTATATATTTTACTTTAAAAAAATATTAAGCCTGCTGCGGCCTTAACACTTTGTTAATTCTCACTGTTCATATAACTTTCAGGTATCTGTAGAGGTTGTCTATCTTAGCACAAACAAGCAGTTACGCACCAGACAGCGGAACAATTACCATCTAGCGATGTGCTCTCTAAGGAACAAGAAGAGCATCAGTGTACAATCAGTGATTTCACATCGCCGGCTGGTGTACCATCTCTCCAACCCACCGACACAGCGTGCACTTCAGTTCATGAGGTAAAGAGAGTGAACTAAGAATGGACCTTGACATATTGCATCTCATTTATCACAGATGAATTGTAAGCACTCTTCTTTGAGTACATCAATTTGTATTTCAACCCTATATGTAGCATGCATCTCACTGTTTTTATTTTCTTATGATTATTTCTAGCATACATCTGAGTCATCATCAACAGAGGGAGATATTACACAGGATGTAGGTGCACTTGACTCTTCTTGGGCTCCAACCCCCTGACCAAAGAATGTGGAGCTGCAATCCCTGAACACTTTCCTTACTCAGGGGGGAATGTCTGCTGTTGATGGGCAGCTTCATCTGTCATTAGAAGAAGCATCTGATAGCACCATCCATTATTAAAGAAGGCAGGCAAAGGAAGCCTTTGGTTTAGTTCTTCATTGTTTAGCACCAGGTCAAGAAGATGGGCTCATGAAGATTACCATCGGTGAAACAACTGCTGAATCATCACAAAGTGGTCAAAATTTTGATAGTAGTGCCCGTTTTCATTTTTTTTTATTGCATCCTTTTTTACCAACATTTTTGCATTAGTGGTTCCATGTTCTCTTCCTTTACGTATTTTGTGTTTAAACATGGTTTGTTATTGGAAGACAGTGACTGTTCTTGTTTTTTAATGTTAATTTAAGAAGGAAAACAATTTCTTGATTTATATTCAATTGTTTTTTCGAGTTTGATCGTTAGGTTGTTCCATGTGTCATTCTATTTTGATACTGTGTTGGTTCAGTTTTCTTCTTTCAACTTGCATTTAAGTTTAAAGTTCAATTTAGTTTTGTACAGTTGACTCTCGTTATAGCAAGGTCGGTGAGACTGCCCAAACTACCTCTTTAAACAGAAATGTTGCTTTAAAAGGACAGCGAAACAAAGAGACACAAAGAGAACTAGAGATTCGAGACCTCAGAATGTGCTCTATATAAGCAACAGTAGGACATCTTTGTAAAAGTGTTCTTTATAACAAAAGTCGACTGTAGTACTATCATTTTACTTATTTGGTGGGGTGGATAACAGGTTTAAGGTTTGGATAAAAGTTAATTTGGATCCTTTTTGATTATTGGTTTTTTGAAAGGTTTTCTTCAAATTTTGGTTGGTAAAATAAATCATTCTTTTTGGTCTTTCTAAAAATGTGTTTGTCTTTGTTTCTATTTATTCAAATTCCTCTCTACTTGTTCCTACCCCATCTAGGTGTATCTCATTTTTGACAACGAGTACCCAAACATTTAGCGTTTTTCTCATTCAATTTATTATTTTCCAAGTTTATTAATTTTCCGGGTTACATTAACATGCCAAAAAATAACAGAATTGTCATCCAAGCCGCCTCATTCCCACATTTGGTGCGCGATATGTGGCAGGGTGTAACCCCCCCCCACCCCCATTGTGTCTTCATTGTGTTCTGGTAATCTCAGGAATTCTTTAGATGATTATTGGGGGATACTTCTGTTAACAAAAAGACAAGTGTGTGTTGAGTATAGGAACATTTGTGGGGACTCCCTCTGCCACAAATCGGGCAGGGTATACATTCCATCCTGGACTCTGAAAGGTGGCGGCCATATTGATTTAAAGTGAACCCCCCTACCCTAAAAATGGGATAAATTAAGGAATTATAGCACCCCTTATGGCGTCTCCAGTATTAAAATATGTTTAAATTTTTTTGATCATGAAAAAAATATACACGTTTGCCAATTTTCATAACATTCAAGCAAAAAAGAAAAAAATTATGTGAAAAATACACTTTTTGACCAAAAAGGTGCAAAAAAAAAGCCCTCTGTTAAAGATTTTTAAAAACATTTTTGACGTCATTATTTACAAATTGGAAATATAAAACTTGGTAGCAAATTTTATGAAAATTGGTTGTCGACTTTTGAAAATACAGAAAAGGGGGGGGGCACTGTATGCCCCTCCCCCGTCCCTTTACTAGCGAAAAATAGGGGTAAAACAGACTCCTGCCATTTTATACTAAAAACTGCTGACAATGTTTTTATTCTTGATACTTAAGGACCATGATAAGAACTCTCTTTCACCTGAGTGTCATTGTTCAAAGACCTGCACTAATGACGCTACGGCGACTTAAAGATCGCTATTTCTATGACTCAACTTTGGGGGTACCCTTAGTGCCGTTGCCTCCTAGGAGCAATTTTTTTCTAAATTTTGAGTACCTGGTTTTAGGTCAGGATACAACCTCAGGACCCTGCAAATTTCATTTCTCTGCTGCTTTCCCCTGTTGAGCAGCAAGCGTTTAAACGTTTGTACCCCAAAATCATAAAAATCACCATTTTTCACTAATAAAAACACATTTTTGGCTCTTTTTTCTGCTACGGAGGTCAGATTGGCCAAATATTTTGTACAACCTCAAGGCTACCTATGACCCACCTACCCCCCAAATTTTAACCAAATCCGCCGACCCCCACCTTGTCACGGTCTGCATGGTCCTCTCGTGGACATACTCTTAATTGTCACAATTCATTTGAATAGCTTGACTTGCGGTTGGATTAATCTGACTTCTGATGAATTGTGAGGACTTGTCATGTATTGACTTCAACTCCGCAGGACACCAAGTCAGTTGTTGAAAACAATAAATCTTTTACAAATTTAGAAAAAGTACAGCACCGTATGTAGTTTTAAATTGATGGAGTGATAGGGGCTTCAGAGAGGTGATGGAAAAATTCATAACTTTGAAACATTCATTGTCATGTCTTTTTTTATCCAAGACTTTGATGACTGTAGTTCTGATCCATGTTTCAACGATGGAAGCTGCACAGATGACATCAACGGCTTCATCTGCCATTGCCCTGAAGGATTTGAGGGAAATGTCTGCTTAATAAGTAAGGCCGGCTTCAAACGCCGAACTTCTGCTGTGTCTAATTCTTATGCCGCTCTGAGCGGCAGAAGAGCGGCATGGCTTCAAACGAGGAACTTCTGCCTTGGTGCGTCCCGAATCAGAATCGTTGTGGTCCCGTTTTAAAATGCGCATGCGCCTGCCGTTCATTTACGTTTCGGCGTTAAAACAAAATGATGGCGCCCATAGACATAATTCAAAGGTTGCTCTGGAAACCCGAACGCCTTTTTGAATCTCTTCTCCGAATTCGTATGAAGCATCATGTCCAACCAACGGGTAGGCCCTTTTCTTGATTTGTGGAGAACAAATAATGAAAATTCTCCTCGTTAAAATACCTCCAATAAAATTGACTGTTGAAGGAGAGAGCGCCTCCTGATCGCGGAGAGAATTTGTCACAGTATCATACATTTTATCTGTCTAGGTCCAACATCTTCAACGAATTATACGTGCAACAGAAAATCGACGTTTGAAAGCAACTGCCGAACTTCTGCCGCTGTAGTTTGTCGAATGCAGTGAATCAAATAAAACATGGTAGAAGTTCGACGTTTGAAGCCGGCCTAAGTCAGGCTGACCTAGCTTCCAGAGTCCACATTGAACTAAAGACCTTTTCACACTGCTGTCTTGCCTGCCTTTGTTGAAATCATATGGGTTATCTGTGAGTGGATGGGTCTGAACTTACACAGACTGGCAAAGCAATTGGTTCACAATTTACATCAGTTTTCACAAATCAGCTGCAGGTTGGATCCGGGAACAGCCTCTCAACCCTGGCCATGTACAGGGTTGGATTTTTACATTGTATAGTGCTGGACTCGACAGCCGTGTTGGATTCTTGCTGATGGATCGTTCTGTTTTTGAGAAAAAATAGAATTGAGTACTATGTAAACATTAACAGCTCCCTAGGCATTTTTGCTAGGATTTAACCTCAATCCTGCAAAATCCTCAAACTGCCACCATGTAAAAATAGCATATATACAGCCTCAATCCTGCAAAATCCTCCGTTATTTCTTGCATGTGGTCCGTGGAGGGGTGACCACTGCCTCAATCCTGCAAAATCCTTTGGCATCCTGGAGCAGTGCGGAGGATTTCAAGTGTAATATAGGCCTAAATGTATGCACGACTGAGCATAAACAACTCAAAGTCCGGGCCAAGACCTTGACACAGTGCATCCTCCAAAATCAGCAACACACATTTTTGCTTTGTAGCCTCATTCCTGCAAAATCTTCCATTTTGCAAAAAAGAGGATTTTGTGGGATTTTGGAAGGTTAGGACAGCACAATATTGGCCATTGCGCATTCATTTGAAATAAATCCAAAGTCCACTCAATTAAAAAAGATCCATAAAGTTTGCCTGTTTAAAACTAAATTCTATTTTGGACGACTTGACCTGAGTTCTTCTTTCACTTATTGACTCAACACAACTCCAGAATCATGTGTCAGTCTGAGCTACCTCAAACAAATGTTGGGAATTCCAAACCAAGTCATTTAGTAGCCCTATCAAAAATCGTATAAAATCTGACGTTTCATTTGACGAGTTTGTTTCCAAAGTGTGATAAATGTCAATTTGATACTTTTTAGAATCTTGCTCTTTCCTGGTTACCCAAAGTCAGTTTCGACGGCTGTTGTATAGTTAAACTCAATTTCAGAATACAATCAAGCAAAAAATATAATTTAGAAACAGCCGTTATACAGGCTGGATAACAAAAAGCGAAACCGAGATATTATTGCTAATTGGAACAGAAGTAGGGCACATGTGAATCAAAGGGAGATATTTCCTGTTGGGGTTGAATCTCTTCTTTAAAATGACACCCTGATCATGTCATTACATTCATGGTTGACTGAGCAGTGACCATTTTTATGAAAGGGTCTATTTAGAGAATTGCGGCCACTTTTTAATTGTGGTTTTTGTTGTGCCTGTTGTCACAGAGTGAAAAGCTATGGTTGCCAATCAAGGCAGGTGGGGAAAAGAACAGAGATTTCACCGTGAAAATTGGCGCAAGTTCCTAAATAGACCCTTTCATAAAATTGGTCACTGCTCAGTCATCCGTGAATGTAAGGACATGATCAGGGTGTCATTTTAAAGAGGAGATTCAACCCTAACAGAGGATATCTCCCTTTGATTCACATGTGTCCTACTTCTGTTCCAATTAGCAATAATATCTAGGTTTCGTGGGTTTTTTTATCCACCCTGTACTGGGTATGTCCTATATATTTCTCGATAAGTTTTTTTTCAAATGGATATATCATGTTTTAGAAATAGACTTAAGGCCCATTCTTTATTTACAGATATTGATGACTGTTCACCGCATTCCTGTTTGAACGATGCGACCTGTGTCGACGGTATAAATGACTTCACGTGTGAATGCGCTGATGGATTTGAAGGGCCGGACTGTGCAACAAGTAAGAGACTAATGAAAGTATTTTGTGATTTTATTTTGCGTTCACAATTTCTATTTGCAGCTGTTGAATGTGTAGCCAAACAAGAGCTTAAAGTTGATACGTTTATTTATATTGGCCTCCGTGGAGCTTTCCTTGAGCCATTGACAATGTTTGATCTTGGTTGGGAAAAAATCTTGCTCGTTGCTTTCTGTTGGCCCTAAGCTTATTTTTTTTTCTGATTTTCCGCAATGTTTTCAGATGTGAGTTGGCAATTAGGATCAATAAAACAATTCGCTTATAATCGTGTAAATCAACCCTTTAGCACTTGTATATATTACATTGTATCACACTGTATTTTCTCCTTGATGAACCCCATTATTAAGCCGGAGATGGTTTGGGTAGTTTTAGGCGGTATAAGGAGTAACACGCAATCCAATTTAAGGCGGCCGCTTCAGGGCCTAATTGGTACAGCATTTATAAGTTCAATGTTGAATTCTTAACCCTAGATATTGATGACTGTAGTCCTAACCCCTGTATGAACAACGGAACATGTACAGATGGTATCAACGGGTTCACGTGTGAATGTTTGACAGGATATGAACGGGATATGTGCACCTCAGGTAAGTCTATGCTCAAAAAACAGAGCAGTGAATTCTTTGACCGACCTTGAACATTTTGGCAATGATTAGTCAGTATACAAATATAACATGGTTTGAGGGTGGACAGTCGATATTCGCTCCCCTCGGTATTGGAAGTTGACAAACTAGTTCCCGAGGCGAAGTAGTTTGTCAACTTCCAATACCTCGGGGAGCGAATATCGACTGTCCACCCGAAATAAACCATGTTATATTTGTTTTACTATACCTCATACATATTCAGTTGCCGAATTTTGTTTTATTATTATGCACCTAAAACAAAATTTGGGGAAACTTGTACAGCTCACCAAAAGATTCAACTTCAATTACTAGTTCGGTTCGTTTGCAATATAATACAGTTACTACAGTTGTAAATACAGTTGTTTGCAATGTGTACAACTTTCTTTTGTACAGGAGACATCTTTACACGGTCTATACATTTTCTCCAGTACGGCATCATTGAAATTTACATTTTACAAATTTAAATTAACATTTACGCGAACCGTGCAACCATGCATCTCTCCTGTGCGATGTTCGCGGGTGCGTACTGCACCCGTGCGACAGTTCCTCGATTGCTCTGTAAAGCGCATGCGCAGTAGACTGTCGCACGAGTAACCCATGCGACAGTCTACTACGCATGCGTATTTACAATGTGCGTGAATCCTCGCGCGCGCGTTTGGTAAACAGCAAGAATAACATCTGGCACGTGATGGTGAATTGACCAGTGAACGGTCGGCTCTCGATCATGAATATGTATGAGGTATAGTAATTGAAGGTATACTCCATCATTTGTAATTTTGTGCATTTTCAAGTTGTTCGTTTGAAGCAACAAACTTTCTCAAAATCTAAAGAAGGGTAATAAACAACTTACCTGATAAAGTTTCAGCTCAGCTTCAGCTGCATTTTTCGAGAAAAACAACATTAGGATCATGGGCGTCGCGAGGGGGGGGCAAGGGGGGGCACTTGCCCCCCCCCTGGAAAAGCCAAAAAAAAAAAAAAAAAAAAAGAAGAAGAAAAAGAAAAGAAAAAAAGAAAAGAAAAAGAGGCGCGAAGACAAAGTGGTGTAAATTTAATGAGTTGGGGGGGGGGCAAATTGTCCCTGCCCCCCTCTAAAACTGATAAATCGAGAATGTGTTGAGAAATACAAACATTTTTTGGCAAATTTTTTTTTTGCCCCCCTCTAGAAAAAATCCTGGCGACGCCCATGATTAGGATCTCAATTTTAATTCAAAAGTTGCTGAATCATGTTTTGATTTGGGCCTGAATTTAGCGTCTGAGGCACGTTCGCACTGAGCTGAATGCAGCTACGCGATGTGGCGCACTGATCCGACGAATTATAGAGGGCGCGCACGTGTTCATCATGTCAACTATTGCGTGCGCTTCGCCTGATAAAAACAAACAAACTACTAACGTTAACTACTAACGGACATTAATTTCCAACAGTGTGTTTTAAGGAAAGGAAAGGCCTTCTTTCGTTGATTTCTTCAAAATGACAGCATGCCAGAAAGAATAATTTCACAGGGAGTATATAGTCCCCTGTTATCTTTCAACCAAGTATATTTTTTCAACAATAAATACGTCAGTCACTTTTTGGATAGCTGCAAATGATGGACTCGGTGTAGCTTTCCAGTCTGTACCCTACAGCCTACGCAAACTAAAAATGACTGCGTAAGTTACGCCATAATTTGTTGTTTAAATCACAGACTCATGCATTGTGAAACTTTTGTGAAACATGTCATGTAAATGCTGTGAAACATGAGTGTTGTGCAATTCATGCAATAAAATGTATGTGGAGATCTGCCATCACGTGAAGTTTTGGAAAATCGGCTGCTGGTTATTTTAGCTTCGAACCTTGCCATCATACAAGAAACTTCACCAATCATGTGAAATCCAACTTATGTGCAGTTTTCTGTGCCTGAATGTTGGACAAAAAGCCCTTATATCTTTAATCCACTTTTTTATGGGGAGGACTAATAGAGATAGAGTAGTTATATATCTAGATGACAACAGGAAATAACTTTTTAAAAAAATGTGCACAGGTTTTTAGTTATCAATTATCACTGTAGTTTGATTCAGTAGAATAATTTTTTGGGGATACGTGGATATCAACTGTACAACAAGTGAGTCTCAAACAGTAATACCGTATCACGAACCGGGAAAGTTCGTGATACTGCATCTCTTTTCTTCATAAATTCCACCTCCATTACAAAATGCATTTTGTTAAGTCTGTTGTGTTCGCATGTACTTGTCCCTTGTAGACTTATTCGGTGACTAAAATGAGAAGCCATTTTGTGCGTTCTTCAAGACGAAGCGCGTGATTTTGTATTGGTGAAGGAGCTAGATGTGCGTGTGTACTACCTCACTGCAAACCTGGTTCCACCTCAAAAATAGCTTCTAATTTTGTTTGCAGAATAATCTATATGCACACGCAGTTAAATACTGTACCAGAAATCTGAAAGGAACTTCACAAAACTAACCTAGGATAGATTTTGCAACTTTTTGTCTTTCCCAATTCTACCTGAAGGGTATTAGGTTCAGGATGTCATCAAGGGTGGAATCAGAAACATTTTTTGGGGGGGTGTGGGAATTTTTAGAATTGTTATAGTACTTGGTCCCCCAATAACCTCATCAAACTAGGCTTCAGAAATTGTAGATTGTATCATAGATATCTTCAGAAAACTTTACCTGCTCATTTTGAGTTGTAACAGCTGATGGCTAATTGTGAACTAATGATAGAACTTCAACTTTCTAATGCATTCAGATATAGATGATTGTGAACCCGACCCTTGTCTAAATGGAGGAACGTGTTCTGATGGCGTCGATAGCTACATTTGCACATGTACACCAGGGTACACAGATAGTCGCTGTTCCTCTGGTAAGTGAACACAATAATTATTCTTTCCACTCATTTAGAGTTAGACCTGTTATTTGTAATGTAAATGGAATAGTTTTCTGTGATGTTCTTTGATTTTTACATTGTGTTACTTTGGAAAGAATGTAGTATCCAAACGCCACTTCTTTGGATGTGTACAAAGTCAAGGGAGAGTTGAATTCATTTCAAAGTTTATTCAAAATTGGAAATGTTTCTCAGTCCCAGATTCATGTCTCTGCAACATTTTTGTGAAGACTGACCTTCATTGTGATGATATATGAAGATGATATATGATGAAGAAGGTGGCACTACCTTGTTTGTTTGTTTTTGCTTATGTTCATGACAGATTTTTTTGAAGGATATTTTTATATCATTTTCTTTTTGAAATATAACCAAGACATTTTTGTATATCCTGCGCAAATACGAATTACAAACACCCCTTAAATCTACACAAAGTCCCCATAATTGATAATCCAATTAGGTGATCTTTGCATCGGTCATTCCATTACATTTTTAGATTTAACAAAAAGAAAAGCTCTTTCTGAAATTGAAATTCCCTTTTGGAAGGCGGAAGAGCACATGCCAAATTGAATTGACTCTGTAAACATTACATACCCATTAGTCCAGTAGTACTGCCCAAAACTGCGCTCCCTTAAACCTCTCTATGGTTTTTACAGATTCCTCCATCCTCAAGGAATTAATAAATGAAAAACAGGTGCTAATGATTTAATTTTCTTAAAAATCATTCTTGATTTAATTTATTTTTTTTACCCCAGATGTGAATGAGTGCGAGGACTTATCGTCCTGCCCGCCTGCCAACCGGCCTTGTATTAACTCCATCGGTGGGTTTGCCTGCACCTGCCCGAGTGGTTATGAGTGGAATTCAACACAATGCATAGGTCAGAACCAAAACGGATTTAATTGTTTTGTTCTTTTTCTTAAATTTATTTCGCATTTTGCTTTTAATTTAAAAATTCTCTAGGTTCAGTCGTTGGTCTTTGATCACTGTCAGCACGAACATTATTATCAGTTTATTTCCTCATGGAATTTGCCCAAAAGACACGTGGAGGAAATCTTATTAGTTTACTTCAATAATAATACAAATAATAATAATAATACCGGTGCTTATATAGCACAGTTCCAAATTAATGATCAATGCGCTTTACAAACAAAAACAAAGAAACATAAACAGATACATTGAAAGAGTAAATCACATAAGCGATCAGGCAAACAAGTGTGTTTTGAGGAGGCTTCTGATTGTTTGTGGGCTAGGAGCTAGTCTGATGGTTGATGGGAGATCATTCCACAATCTAGGGGCACAGATAGAGAGCGACCTCTCCGCAACCATCCTTTGGCCCCTAGGCACCACGAGCCGGGGTGTGTCTGTGGCAGAGCCTAATCCGAGTCGTGAAGGTTTGTAGAATGAAATGCCGTTTTAGAGGTATATGGGAGTGAGACCGTGGATTGACTTGTATACAAATATAACAGGATTTTGAAAATAATGCGTTGTTCGATCGGAAGCCAGTGAAGCGATTGCAATAGTGGAGTAGAGGGATGTCGGCAAGGAACTTGGAAAATGAATCGAGCAGCCCTGTTATGTAGACGCTGCAGTCTTGAGATGTCAGAGCTGCTGCAACCGGCCAAAAGAGAGTTGGCATAGTCTAGTCTAGACAGAATCAGGGCCCTCATGGCTGGCATGAGTACAGCTTTCCTGGTAGATGAAGCGACAAATTCTGGAGATGTTGCATAACATTGATTGACTGACAAAGGGATGTAACATGAGAGCAGGCCTTTAAACAGGAAGAAGGGTTCTGTTTTTTGTTCTTCCTTTTTTACTTGCTGGTTTGCAGATCTTCGGTTGGGTAAGCATGGAACTCATGCAAAGCACAATGTGATACTTAAGATAATTTTTTTTTTAGTCTCGGGTCAAGGAATGGATCCGCCGAAAAAAACTTTTGAAAGAATATTCTGCAACAAATTTTAGCCATGAAACCCCCCCCCCCCCCAAAAAGAAATTGACAAGCTACTCGGCACAGCTTTCCTGGTAGGTTGTAGCCAGTGTCACCAGAGATGAAAGATGAGAAATGTACGATTGCAAACTGGACCTGAACTAAAAGGCTCAATACTTTGATCAATGTCAACAAATCCAATATGACATTTTTTTCCCCTTAATACCTAGACGTGGATGAATGTTTAGCTGATGACGCTCCTTGCCCCGACACGGTGCCTTGTCGGAACACAGAGGGTAGTTTCACGTGTCTGTGCAACCAAGGCTTTGCCTGGGATGGTGGGAGCTGTTCAGGTAGGTTCAGTACCGGTATGTACGATTTTGGTGACAGGGCCAAGCATACTCTCCGTGCTCGAAGTTTGACAAGACAAGCAGGTGGGACAAGCGGAAAGGGGGGAGGGGAGAAGGACAGGGGGTAATAGGCAGTGGCGAAGCCAGCCATCTCACCATAGGGGGTTCGAGTGGGGGGTGGAGGCCTAGATGCTACAATTTCTGTAGCATCCTTGCTGGAGGTAGATAAGGTCTTTTTCACCGCGGTCACTCTTTCTCTGTAAAATAAAAAAAATGGGGTGGGGAGGACTTAACACCATCTTCCTTTGAGACGCCCTTAGCAAACACTATCGATGACGTTAGGCGGCACTTAATTTTCATGGAGGCACAATTAGAGACAATCAAGCAACGTTGGAAAAAGGGCCGTTCATGAAAAAAAAGGCATGTTGTGAAAAAGGACCCGGGGGGGGTATGGGCACCATTTGAATATCGGAGGCGCTGTTCAAGCAGCCAGTTTAAGACACCGTTGGACAATTATTCACTGGCCAAGCTAATTCTGATCAAGGGCTTCATGTTGTTCGTTGATTTTTGTAGATGTTGATGAGTGTTTAGATGCACCGTGTTCAAATACCGCAACGTGTGTCAATCAGCCTGGTGGTTATAGCTGCGTGTGCCCTGCTGGATATCTCTGGAATGGAACATCTTGTGACGGTAACAAATTAAATCTTCTTTTTAAACTAAAAATCCTGAAGACAGTTGTTCTCAATTTCATTTAAGTGTTCCAAGACCAATTGCATTATGTGAGAGGACTCTGGGGGATGGGGTCGGGTATGTTCCAAGTATCCCCTCAGCTGTTACTCTTCAGAGAGAGTGAAGGATTTTTAGAATCCTTTGCATTTATCCCAAAAGTTGTATCTTTTCAAAATTATTGTTTTGAAAATGTTACATGTACTTAGATTAAAGTGTGAACCTGTACAAAACACCCTGTGAACTTATTTCGTCTGGCTTGCTGTCATTTAGAAGAAATCAAGAAATGCTGGTGATTTCCAACGATCGGACATTTGACAGATATTTTTTAATAAAGAGTCATTCAAAAGGTTGTGTTTGTTTTCTCCCTTTTTTGTACATTACAGTCATATCCCCTGAGTTAGGTTTTGAACACATTTCTTTGGATTATGCGTGGTGTATTATTGCAAACAAACAAAATACAGAAAAAGTAAATGATCCTATTAAACTTTTGCTGTAGGCTCGTTTCAAAATATGGAGGGGGTCTTTAGGTAAATGTTTGATGGATATGCCAAAGAAAAGCCTGAGATTATGCAAATTTGATGAAAACATTGATACGCTTGATTGTCTATTTGTTTCAATCATTTTGAAGATATTGACGAGTGTGAACAGGAGAGCTCGGTCTGTCCATCCACGTCGCCTTGTAAGAATACAATAGGGAGCTATACTTGTATCTGCTCTGAAGGCTATGGATGGAATGGGACTCGGTGTACAGGTATATATATATATATCACGTTCACTTTCACATTCAGTACTGCTATAATGTTAACATTTTATTAGCAACGCTGTCAAGTGAGGAGTTGAGGAGGAGAGTTGGAGTGAGCAGATCAGTATCGTGTTGAGGAGGCTCAGGCTGAGGTGGTATATGGTCACGTGGTGAGAAAGGATGATGCCAGCTGGGTCAAGAGGTGTCGCAGGTGGGCCCACACCCGTCAGGCGACCACGCAAGACGTGGCAGAGCTCTGTGACTGATGACGTGCAACTGCTTGGAGTCAATGCAAGAGACTCGACGGACGGGGCCAAGTGGAGAGGAGCCATAGAAAGAAAGCAGGCCAACCCAGAACAGACTGGACAACGGACTCAAAACCGACGATGATGATGATGATGCTATTGGAATGTTGATTCTTCGTTTTTTGTTTTTTTTTGGTTTTGCAGATGTAGATGAGTGCCAGAGTTCTGAGCCTGTGTGCCCATCATTGGCTTCTTGTACCAACACTCACGGCTCGTTCCGATGCCATTGTCAGGATGGATACACACTCACCAGACAGCCGGGATCCAGTTTATTCTTCTGCTTGGATATTGATGAGTGTCAGGATGAAGCGTTGTATGATTGCCATAGCAACGCTGCATGCATCAATGAGCCTGGTGCCTACCGTTGCATGTGCTCAGAGACACAAGGTTACCGCGGCGATGGGACAGTCTGCACTCGTAAGTTGTTTTTCTTTTTGCAAACCATCTTAAGAGCAAGAAATTGGATTGGAGATCCTATGGACTCCATGTACCAACAAAAGGGCATGTTTCCACCTTTGAGACCCCGTCGATGGGACACACGGCGTGTGTGCACAGTACTCCGCACGAAGTCTTCCTGAATACCCAAAGCTATTAGCCACAGCATCTTTGCGTAAGCATCAGGCATCGGCAGGGCGGGAATACATTCAAATTTAACTTGCGATGGTTTCCCAGACTACTCCCCGCACCCAAGAACTTTGAATCATTCAAAATACGCAGTGAAACTGGAACCAGTCTAGGTCTTCCCCAACCATGGGCGTCGCGAGGGGGGGCAAGGGGGGCACTTGCCCCCCCCCCCCCCCCCCTGGAAGAGCAAAAAAAGAAAAAAGAAAAAAAAAAGAAAAAAAAAGAAAAAAAAAGAAAAGAAAAAGAGGCGCGAAGACAAAGTGGTGTAAATTTAATGATTTGGGGGGGGGGGGCAAAATGTCCCTGCCCCCCTCTAAAACTGATAAATCGAGAATGTGTTGAGAAATACAAGCATTTTTGGCAAAAAAAATGTTTTGCCCCCCTCTAGAAAAAATCCTGGCGACGCCCATGTCCCCAACTTTCCTTTTCTGGCCATTGAAGGAGTAGCCCCCCCCCCTACTTGGGCACGGAGCACATAGGGTGTTAGCGAATCTCCAACAGGGATTTTCCATCCATTTTGTTTCAAATGCTCAACAATCAGATGAGAACATCACACCTCCCCCCCCCCCCCAAAAGAAGATTATCCAGTTCGTAAGTTTGATGTCAGTTCATTTTAAACCACGCCCACTTGCCATTAGGGAGCACTGGATCCATTGGAACCGGAAGCTAACGCAACTTGAGTGTTTATCCAATTGGCACTAGTTATCAGTGGTGCGCGCGTGTGTATGACGTTTTTACTAACGAACCGGATAGTCAAGCCCAGTAAAGCCAGTCCCAAAATCCACAAAATTTGTTTCAATTGATCCAAAATGGCTATTCGAGTCTTTTCATGCATCTGGTGTATATGCAATGGGCCTGGTGTTACGGGGTGATCCTATACAATGGCACTGCCTGGCAATCTTCACCAGTATACAATCAGTCTAAGTTAAAGTCAGTCAGTTTGTGAGTCAATCAATCAGTGAGATAGGTACAAAGAGGATGCTATGCTGGCTCTCTGAGACTATAGCGAAAGCTCATGAGGATATTACTTTCAAGTATGACTTTCTAAAGCAGCGTATTGTAAAAAAAAAAAAAAAAGTAAAGATGCCGAACCTGTGTTAACAGGGAGCGGAGTGCCCATCTCTCTTTCGTTAGCGATTGGGCCAGACTCATATGCTGCTGTGGGGGGATCGCCACACCTCCTCCACAGCTAGTCTGTTACCCAGCATTGAATAATGCCGATACCCATTTAACACCTGGGTTGAGAGGAGTAATTAAGGTAAAGCGCCTTACTCAAGGGCACATACACGCCTGGCCACGGCGGGGCTTGAACCCATAACCTCGCGATCATGAATCCTGTGCTCAACTGCTAGACCATACGTGCCCACGTAATAGACTTTGGATATTCTTTTTCTGCAGCATTTGATCTTTGTGAGAGCGGACCTTGCTTGAATCAAGGCCAGTGCACCTCATCTGTAGGAAGTGGCAGCTATGAGTGTGTGTGTACAGATGACTTCACAGGAGTCAACTGTGGCATCAGAGTGGTACCTCAAGGTATGTGCTTAGTTAGGGATGTAAAGTACGTTTGCTTTCCTACTTTTGTTTGTTTGTTTTTGTTTTTGTTGGGTTGTTGGGGTGTTTGTTTGCTTTTGGGGGTGTTGGGGGTGTTTGTTTGTTTGTTTTAGGGTGTTTTTTTTTGGGGGGGGGGAGCGTTTCAACACAAACGTCTTGTTCAAGAATGTGTTTTTAGGGCAGGGTATCTGAACTGGGTAGCGAAATGTTTTTCCCAATCGGGATTGGACAATATCAAAAAAGGCACTCGATCTCTCTGCGTTATGCATATTCCTGATGTTCAGGGATTTAGAGAAAAAGCTAATTCATTTACTGGTTGGAAGTAGGCTAGTATTGACTTCTAATCAGGTGATCCGAGTTCCAATCTCAGTGAGCGTTTTTCACTTCTTCTCATTTTACCTTTTTAATAACTAAAGTGAGGAAGGAACATTTCTCACAAGACGTAAAGCCTGTCTTGGGTTTGTGTTGTGGAGAACAAGGCATTAGACATGCATGTAATGGACCAATCAGAAGATGGGGAACGGATGTCGTTTGGGGAAAAATAGATTTGCAACCGGGTACCCGGGGAGCCGACCACTAATGTCAGGAATGTCAGGAACCAGTTCCAGAATCTGGAATCAAGTACCCGTGGCCAATTTAAATATAGTAAATCAAATTAGGTTTTGCCCTTTGAATATAGTAATTTTTCAGGCAACAAAAAAAAAAGAATGTCATTTGTGGGAAATATTCAAGATGAAAACCAGTCTACATGGAAAAACAAAACAGATTTACCTTTAGGATGCTTGCAAAAATGCAATTTATACCGTAGAGCTATAAGAGCTCGGTGCACACACCTTGTCTCTTGCTGCATAGTGGTAGTATGAACTGGCGGACGTTTACAACAATCTAAACAGCAACTTCTGAGATTTAAATTTTGGGGTTGGGCTTCTTTGACCTTAATAAGTTTGGCTATAAAACCTTAAAAAGATCATGAGAAGTATGCAAAATAGTCAATTTTCAATCCAAAAGATATATTTTACGCCACCTAAAATGACTGTGAATTAAATGCTATTATAATTATTATTGCCTAATAGACACTGTGAAACTTTCGTGTAACAAATCATAATTGAAATGCTAGGCAAAATGTTTTATTGCACCACTCTGGCATGAAAATGCGGTGTTACATTTCGTAAAATTGGCTGCTTAACCATTTTCTATTTTAAAAAATCACTTCACGTGCGTTTTGGCAAACTTTTTTCAACAGCCATCCAAAGACTCAAATTATATTTCCAATCGTTCTTTTGTTGCTTTTGTGTTCTGGCACAGGTCCAATCTCTGTCCTGAAGCACCCTGAACCTAGCCTCATCACAGCATCGCTGTACGACACAGTCACGTTAGAGTGTCAGTTTGAGAATGCCAACAGGTTTGCTTGGTACAGAAACGGAGCGGTGCTGCCCGGTACAAGAGACGTGTCATTTCTTACGATCGCTGGAGTCACTTTGACTGACCGAGGGTACTACTGGTGTGAGGGGAGTGGCTTGCAGGGAGTTACACTACAGACAAATGCTTCCTTGCTGCTGATTGATGGTAACAATTTGCATTAAATTAGCATTTTATGTAAACTTGCGAAGTTTATCAAGCGTCAATATTTTTTGTCATGCCGTTGCACTTAAAGTTCTCTAGGTTCATTTGCAAATAGTCAAAAATGAAGCTGCCCAAATATTAGGAAATCATGCTGCTTGATTGTAAGTAATACGATCAAGATCCAGTGAAATTGTTTCGCCGAGTATGATGTCATTTTGAAGAATAGAAAAATAATAATCATTTCCCCGTGATAGTTAGGGCCTATAGCCATAGAGAAAGTGCACTGTCAATAGAAAGGGGGTCTGCTCATAAGTTTGACGCCTCATAGGTCCGATGCCTCAAAAGTCTAAAATTTCGGACTTTTGAGGCGTAAGACTTATGAGACGTCGGAATTATGAGGCATAAAATTGATTTATTCCGCCTCATAGGTCGGACGCCGCATAAGTCCGACGCCTCATAGCTGCGACGCCTCACAAGTCCGAAACAGCGTTTGTCCATTGTCGGACTTACGAGACGTTGGACTTATGAGGTGTCGGACCTATGAGGCAGAATTTATGCCACATGAGTCAAACGCCTCATGAGGTGTCGGACCCATGAGGCGTCTGTCTTACGATACGGCCCTATAGAAATGTGTGCATTTTCCCAGTGTTCTCAAAAAGTGTAATATCCAGAGAACTGAAAGTTTAACAGGTTTAATAGTTTTGAACCTTCTTCTTTGGAGTTTGAGTGGTGTTATAATTGTAAATGTAAGAAAAGTAAATGATATTATAAATGTGGCTAAGTTTAAGCAAGATTGGTGTAGGGCTAGTTATGACATTGACTGTTTGCTTTATATTTGTTTTCCGTAATTCTTCTTGTATAAATTTAATTTCTGATTGATCTTGAAATGTAGGTGTGTTTGCCTTCACCACCGGGGCCAGGTTTCCAACATTGACGTTTGTCGATGAGTTGAGAAATAAAAGCTCTCCAATCTTTAAACAAATATCGGCTGAAATAATAACCTTTGTAAGTATCATAACATTGTTTCATAGGCAAGAAATACAGATCTACCGTTTCATTTTTATACAGCATAAAGAAAGCCACCCAAACCATATTTTGCATAAGCAACACAAACCATATTTTGTATAAGCAACTCAAATATATTCTTTAATGTCCATGAACTGTACCAAATAAACTGTAAAAAAAAAAATTAAAAAAAAAAATATATATATATATATATATAAACAGTGCCATCCGAAATCTGCATTGGACACTATTGGATGCATAACTTTTCCAAATCATGTTTACAATTTTCTCAGCATAACAAAAAACAACTTTGAGATTGCCATCTTTATCTCTCCTTCTAAGTTAGTCATGTTTAGACATAGTAAATGTCTTTAGATTAAAAAAACCCATTCTGTTGAATTTAATTCAGTTTAATTTGACCAATTGATGACATGTAATTTGACTTTTTTGCCGTCCTACCTATGTAATGTACTCGTAAATCCTCTCCTTAAAGACAATTTCCCAATATTCCAGACAGAAAAAAACGGAAAACGGTTTTTCCCTAAAACAGATTGGTTTCTTCTTTGCTTCCAAAGCTCTCGGAGGGTTTACAATCTGAGGGGGTTCAGGCAAACATTACTGTCAAAGAGCTGAACAGTGGAAGTGTACTGGCAACGACTGAAATCCTAACCAATGCCGGAGGGACAAACAGTGATGACTCCGAGTTATTGAGCATTGTCCAGGATGCCCTGGTTGGCAAAGCAACCGCCTCAGATGGATACATGGATCCATCTTCTATCACACTTGAGAGCAGCGGTAAGAAACCGTGGGACACTGAAATCCCAGGATGGTATCTGATGCGATTTTTATATCGTGTAATAAATTTATATCACATAGAATTGATTTTCTGAATACATTGCACAATCGAAACTTCTTTATGTGGGATTTTACACCGGTAGTCTGAGTATCACCCGTTGTCCAAAGGAGTAGTGGCGCACCCAGGAATTGGCTTTTGGGGGGGGGCTCACAAATTTTTTTAAATTTTTTTTGGGGGGAACAGACTATTGTGACGTTTTTGGCGCCATTTACATCCCCATTATATTACTCGAAAATAGGCCATATCACTACGGTCAAATCATGGAACTAAAAAAAAAATGACAACCTCTGGGGGGGGGGGGGGGGGGGGGCTCAAGCCACCCGAGCACCCGAGCACCCGAGCCCCCCTTGGGCGCACCACAACAAAGGAGCCGTCTCCATAACCAACGTCTAATATATTTGAGCAATGCAAATTTTATGCGAGCCCGCTCGCCAGCCAATCGCAGTCGACTTTAGAAGTTGTGGCGTCGTTCAATCAGAAATGAGGACTATGCTGTTGATTGGTCAATTATTTGGCTGCCATGTTTTTGTATAACATTAATGGGTTACCGAAGACCCGATAGAAGGCGCCTGCAGTTTTGCTGTACATACTTAATCACCGAATCTGCTCGCATATCATAGATCCTTCTTGTGCCAGGGGATATTCCATAGACTGGTAGTCGTTTTGGTAAGACGAAAATGAAATATTAGTTTTGCCCTTTAAGGATTTCATTCTATAAGTCCAGCATATACCAGTGGCCTATATATGTTTTTGATCAGGAGGAGGCAAATGGGTGAAATTTGAAGACTCTTTTCGCAGCTTTAAAAAAATAATATAAATCGCAAATATAGAAACATATTTAGAGAGTATAGTTTATTAGCTTTCCAGCCATGAAAAAATCTTTTTAATCATCTAGATATTGTATTGAGTTTAATATGACCATTTGAAATCAAGTGCCGCTTTTCATTTTGTACACGGCGACTGATATTTGACTATATGTGCCGAAACTGGAGATTCCGAGTCGAGTTCCACAAACAGTCCTTTTCAGACTTCTACTTTTTCAAAAAGACCATTGGAAAATGACCATTGTTGCAAATTTGCATCAACGTTCATTTATAGGAAAGATAAAAAGAGTAATGAAAGAAGGATTGTAACGTTAAAGAAAGCAAGTCACTGCAAGTCTATAACATTCCTAACAAATGACAATTGAGACTGTGGACAAAATGAAAAATCGGTACTTTGACCATATAAATAATTTAAAAATATTTACCCGATGGGAAAGATTTTTCCTATTTGAAAGCTAATGAACTATCTCTTCAAATATTTATCGATGGTTGTGATGTATTTAAAAGCTATGAAGAAGAGGACGCTTTTAGGGTTCATCTTTTTTTTTGAGGGTGGACACCCTGTATTTCAGCATGGAATAAATCTTGCGTACTTTTCATAAGATGGAATTTTTTTTGGGGGGGGGGGATGATGTAAATCAAATTAGGTGTTGCCCTTCACCGATGTGTAAGCACTGTATACTCAGTGTGTTACCTCTCGAGTGAAAGTTGGAAAAAATCACTTGAGTGGGACTCGAACACACTGAATATACAGTGTTTACACGTCGGTGAAGGGCAAAACCTAATTTGACTTGCGTACTTTGCACCATACAAATACGAAACATAAGTGCCAGCTACTGTTCATGGATTTTAAAATTACTTTTTTTTTGCGATAGAATATGAAATCAACTTCTGACAGTTAATTTGTATCATAATATCATTTGCAGGGAGTTGTGTTGAAACTAGGTGGCCAACCATCTATGACACCATTACTCTCCCAGCTGTTCCCCTCGGTGAGGACACAGTATCCAACTCGGATCATGTGTGCCCTGATTATACCATCAATAGTAAGTCCCTGACCTTTGAATCCTACAATTAATATTCACATTGTATAGCTATTTTACATATGCAGTGATGTGGCAGCGTGGTTAAGGGCATTGGATTCGTAGTCTGCGGGTAAAGCTGCAGGTTGTGGGTTCGAGTCCATCCTGGGGTCATGGTGCGTGTGTCCTTGGGCAAGGCACTTTGTCACTCATGGCTTCTCTCCACCCAGGAGTGAATGGGTACCTGTGAGGGCAGAGATGGTTAAAAGCTTCCTTGCGCCTAACAGGCAGCATCGAGCTATATACTCCCCAGGGAGCTGAGATGGTATTTGGAATGTTTCATGGGCCTAATGAGCAGGGACAATAATAATCATGTAGTGCCTTGAGCACCAGTGCTGGTGGATTCGTGCGCTTTATAAATACCCACTACATGTATTATGCATTATTTTCAGAAACAAAATGGTAATTTAGGTTCAGTAGTGTCATTCACTGAAAAAAATTATACGGGAAAGGAATTCAACAGCAGATTTTTGTTTTAACTCGCAATTTCATTTCAAGGAAAAACAACTTGAATCTGCACATTTTTTCACATTCCATATCAGTATATGCTTTTTGGGAACATGCCCTCACGAACAGTTTAATTCGTGAACATTTCCTAATCTTTTACTAATCATCTATGTTTGCCCATTGCAACTTCCAATTACAGCAAATTAACATATACACTCCATTCTTCACTCAATCCAAGGTGGTCAGCCCATAGCCTATGCTGTTTGTGTTGGAGATGGCTTCTCTCCGGCACAGTGGCTGGTTGAGTTGCAGTGCGGCCGAAACTTGACAGTTGATGAAAAGCTGGCTCTCTTGAACAGGGTGAGGCCATCGTCCAGTAGCGTAGTGAGAACAATTTCATGGGGGGGGGGGTTGTTTACCAAAATATTTCCCCTGATATTTTGATATTTTGATATGTCAGACAGCTGTGTTGATAGTTTCAACCACATCCGCATACATTGTACAGTGTGCACAGTGGTGCACCCCGGGGGGGGGGGGGCACAATTTTACCTTGGTGATATGTATGTGGCCTATTTTCGAGTAGTATAATAGGGGTGCAAGTGGCGCCACCAAACGTCAAAATAGTCCGCCCTCCAAAAAAAACCACCAATTTTTTTCTGCGGCCAAAATTTTGGGTAACATTTTTTGAAAAAAAAATTGAGCCCCCCCCAAAAACCCCAAATGCTGGGTGCACATATGAAGAGAGAATATAGAGAATATTGTCATATCTCAGGGCCCTTAACTTATCATAAAGAATGAATATTAATGTGGGACCATCGTGACGAAATTCCAGAAGTTCAAAGGGGCAGAATTCTCCTTTAATATTTGTAGTTGTTATCCTTAATCTTCAATATCCCTCAACTTCATTGAATAGGTGGAAGTTAACGATGAGAATGTGATGGTGGTGGCGTTGCAAGTTATGGCCCTGACTGAAGATGTTGAGATGCTGAGCGATGCAGGGGTCGCATCAATCGCCGACATCATGACGAAAATTGCTGACGTGAACTCATCTACTTCACAGGTACAAATTGTCTTGGTTGTTATTCGGCCGATGCACTGCTGGGAGTGGGGTTGGTTTGGGACTATGGAATCCCAGCGAAAATGCCTGATAGTAGGTACTACAGAGTGAGTAAAAAAACAAACGAACCCAAATTTCGGAACTATTGTTTATTGAAGTTCTGCATGTACTTTCAAAATCTAGGATATAAAAGCCCAATTCATAAGCTTTCTTTTAGTCTAAGAATCATTCAACTCACTGATGTACTTTTCAAGTTACAGAATTCTAAACACAATTAACCACCGTTTTAAGGTTCTGTCCACGGATCACAAAAAAAAAGGTGTGCGTTCTTTCAGCAAAACGAAAACAATTCACACACATTCCTATGTGATTTCTTTTCGTTTTGCTGAAAGAACACTGAAATTTTTTGTGATCCGTGAACAGAACCTTAAAATGGTGGTTGTGTTTAAAATTCCGTAACTTGAAAAGTACATAAGTTTATGAATTGAGCTTTCATATCCTTGATTTTAAAAGTGCTATATGCAGAACTTCCCTAAAACAATGGTCCCAACATTTGTGTTTCGATTCTTTTGACTCACCCTGTATTAGAAATGATACGCAAACGGGACATGTTTGCGGCTCAGAAAAACTAGCTTGTTATGTCACCATTTTGTGTGGTTATTTGACCAGATTCACACACATACATCTTCAAATTGTGATGTGAAATGCACATTGCCCATAGCGTTCCAGATGAAATAAAAAAAAAAACATGCAACATGGTAAATTAACAAGCCGCATACGCATTGTAATGGACAATAGTAGTTGTTTTGTGGGCAAATCCTTGGTTTTAATTATTCCTGGTAATGAGCCAATGATTTTTTTTAAAGTGCATATAGGCACTGTAACACTTGAAGCAATAAGATGCCTGAGGAAGAAGACAATTTAAAAAAACTGCGCAGTTTAAACGGTGGGAGGAAAACCCTGGACAAATAATTAAAAAAACAACAACATTGAGTCAGTTTGAGACTGAAAACCTAATTCACATGTGGGCCTAGGAGGGATTTGAAACCGGGCCATAGAAATGGAAGACTAGGCAAGGGAAGGACCTTTGTACAAACCTGACTCTTGTTTGCCAAAAAACACACACACAAATTGCCTGGTTAGTGGTGACACTGTCCATCATTCACTTTGAAAAGGGTCTTGGCTACACGTGGCTTCAGCTGCTTCTCATATATGCACACAAGTAATTTGGACCGGGTCTAAGATGATGTCCGTGCAGCCCCCTCCCTGACTGCTTTTCGTTTCTGCGATGGCCGGGTAACAGGGCAAATAGTTCTGGCCACATTATACTGCCCTGAGTGATCTGTCACTTAGTTTGACCACAAACTCGTTTCAATTTGTATTTGTTGTCGTCATGTATCTCTGATCCCAACTGATTCAGTTATGTGTTAAAAGTCAGGTTTGCGCAGTGGTCCTTTCCTCGCCTTCCACCTCTATGGTCCGGGTTCGATTCCTGCCCTGGTCCACACGTGGATTGGGTTTTCAGTCCCTAGTTCTGTGGGTTTTCCCCAGAATGTTTTTTGGGGGTTAAATTGCTTTCACTTCTAAACCATATCATTTCTTCATTATGTTCGTTCGACAGGAATCTTCCTTCAGGCTTGTGAGCCACATCAGTGCCAGTGGGTGTTTTTAAAGCTTCCAATAGTAACAATAAGACTCTGCAGGTTTTAATGGTAGCCTTTTCATCTTGAAAACATTGTTTTCTAGGTAACCACGACCGTGGTAGATACTGTCGGCAACCTGATGTTTATCAGCGATGAAGTCTTGCGAGAAGCCGAAGTCCGAGAGCACGCTCCAAGCAGAATTGTCAGAGTATTAGAGCAACAACTTGGCAAGGTCTCGCTGGCAGGAAATGTGTCGTTTCGGGAAGTCCACCCTAACATTGCAGTGGAGGTCCGCGGAGTGACCGAATCCACCCTCTTGAATGGGTTGGGGTTTGCGTCTGCTAATTCCTCGTCATCGGGGTTATTTGGAGAGTCCAGCCTGATGGTGATGGAAGGAGGAGACCAGCTGTTCCAAGGAGCTTTAGAGAGTGAGATGCCTAGTGCCGTACTTATGCTGCCTCCGGAAGTCAGCATCCTTGCAAGACGTATGTATCATAATGTGAGGCGTTCTGGCAAATGCGAGAGAACTGAGCAGAGGTCGAAATTAGGGTTTGCAGGTATTAGGAAAGAGAACAAAATTCGATACTTCGATACTGTTTGTTGTACTCCGATCCGATATTCCGTTGACAACTTATGTAAACAAAAACTGTAAAAAAGGGCCCGTACAGTATTGGCTGTGTTGTAGTCATGAAAATGAAAGATGCCAATTGTTTTTCTTTAAAAACACTCTTTATTTCACAATATTTATACTATTTCTTTTAAATAAGCCTATGTGTAGTAGACATATCAAAGATTACAAATTTCAAAATGGAGAAATCGTCTCATTTTGCCAGAACCCCTCACAAATATTGATCAAATATGTTTCTTTAAGGAATCGACTGCAGCAAGATTTGAACACGCAAGCTTCAAAATTGAACATGATGACTTTGTATACTTTTTGATGACATTTGTTATCAGGAGATGAAGTCGGCGGTGGCATCCGTGTGAGTTTCTTCGTCTTCAGAAAACTGAATCTCTTCCAGTCGCCGTTGCTGGCAGACTTTAACAAGGTAGAGGACCGATTCAACCGGACCATCAACACGCGTGTCATGTCAGCCACCGTGGGTAGCCAACCAATCACAAACCTGAATGAGCCGGTTACGATACTCCTCAGCAGAATTGATGTGAGTCTGTTTATTGTGGAATTTCCATGTACTGAAGGTTAAAGGTACAGGGAGGACGAACCTGTGTTCACAGGAACGGAGTGTCCATCTCTCTTTCAAAGCGATTGGGCCAGACTCGAGTCCATGAAATGCTGTTGTGGGGGGATTGCCAAACGTCCTCAACAGCGAGTCTGTCACCTTATTACTTATGCCGGTACCCATTTAACACCTGGGTTGAGAGGAGTAATTGAGGTAAAGCGCCTCACTCAAGGGCACAACACGCATGGCCACGATCGTTAGACCACACGTGCCCACTGACATCTACATTGCACTGACACCTAGGGGGCGGGGGGGGGGCCAAGGGGGCGTGCGTCCCCCCCCCCCCCAAAAAAAAAGAGACGAAGACGAGGTGCGAAGTCATATTGATGTTCAGTAAAATGCACATTTAACAAATGGACGTCCGCAGGGTGTCAATGGGAGTGGGGTGGGCAACCGTCGAAAAAAAAAGATAAATTGAGAATATGCTAGAGAAAGTACAAGGACTGTGAGAGCTTTGCCCCCCCCCCCCCCCCCCCCCCCCCGCCCTCTAGAAAAACTCCTGGCGACACCCATGACCATAGTCCTTCAGTCTCAAGTCAAGTCACTAGCTATTCAAATGAACTGTTACAAAATCATCCCTTTGTCATTGTTCATCCCGTTACTTGCGACTGGACTTGTGACTGAACTTGTGACTGGACTTAACTTGTGATAGACTCGACTTCAACACTGCAACGTTCACATATTCTAAGTGTGCGCAAACTTATTTACGTGAACACAGATGTAGCGGCAGCACCTTTGAGTCCCTCTAAATGGTCCCCCAACTCCCTTTCTCTTTGTAACTGGGATGGGGGTGCGTGTGAAGGAGTTAAGCAAAGATCTTAATACCTTATGTGCCTGATCTATACGTACAAGAAGCATGTTTTCTTTTTCTTTTTTTCTGCTGTAGAATGATTCCTATGTGGACAACACGAGTTGTGTGTTTTGGGAATTTGACAATGCAAGCTGGTCAAGCGAAGGCTGTCGTTTACGTGAAGAGTATATCACTGATCAGTACATTGCTTGTCAGTGTGATCATCTGACCAACTTTGCAGCTCTAATGGTGAGTATAATTCAGATGTGTTGGCTTGGTTTCAATAAACACCAGTCTGCTATTTTTCATCAACAATTTTTTTCCACTTTAATTTAAATTTCTTAATTTGTTTTGAGTGCATAAAATCCCACTTCGTCAATTTCTTTGTTTAACTATAGGGTTCAGCCTGTTCTCCATCAAACGTGAAATGGGTCAGGTGCTTTGTGGTTCATTTGATGACCAAACTCTGAGTGATTCCCTTTTGCTATTTCCCGTGTTTGCAGCATTACTAATATTGCTGGCACCGTGACCTTTGGGCATGATCCGTTGTTACATGTCACAGACGAGTTTATGGCTTCTGACAAGTGCCCCTGAACAAAGAGATTGACAACTGGGTTACCATTTAATGTATAGGGCAAGACCACTCAGTTGGGAGAGTTCCTCTCAAGTGTTACGGAGGTCGCATATTCAAACCTTGTATTAATGTACAATTTTTTTTCTGACTAGGACATCTATCCAGAGTCACCTTTGACCGAGACTCAGGAGTTCATCCTCAAGTTGCTGAGTCTGGTTGGATGCGGGATGTCTATCCTAGGACTGGCCGTTACCATGGTTACCTACCTCAGTCACAAGTATGAATTGGCAGTTCTTATATAGAACACCCAGATAGCTTCAATAAAGATTGCCTGAAGTTTTCACTGTATACCCAAGATCTATCCAAGAGTGGAATCAAATTCTAGAAGATATGCGCTCCACACCAGACCAGAATGTCTTCAAGTCAGCTTTGGACGGCATCCATTAGGAATTTAGTTAGCCGGGCTCGCTTCAAAATTTAAGCTTGCGTGCCACAGTATACTTGTACAGTATACAAGCAGAAGCAAATGTAGAAGCAGAAGTACGTTCCATTGGTATAAACGTTCCATTGGTATAAACGTCCCATTGGTCCGACGTCCTATTGGTCCGACGTCCTATTGGTCCGACGTCCCATTGGTCCGACGTCCCATTGGTCCGACGTCCCATTGGTCCGATATTCCATTGGTCCAAAGTCCCATTGGTCGAAGTACCATTGGTCCAAAGTACCATTGGTCCAACCGTCCAAAGTCCCATGGGATTAGGGTTAGGATTAGGGTTATGGTTAGGGTCAGTCAACCTGAACCAGTAGAACTACCGGTACACATTATTATGTTTCGTCAGACCAATGGGACTTCGGTCCAATGGGACGTTGGACCAATGGGACTTCGGACCAATGGGACGTTGGACCAATGACACTTCAGACCAATGGTACGTCGGACTATCGTGACGTAACCCCAACTGAAACTTGGGGTGCGGAGGGTTCCATCACTGGTTACCAATAGCTGCGGCAGGGAACCAGGTCCAAGACATTTTATGATGCAGTGTTGACCAGCGTTTGACATGATACATTTGCACGTTGCTATCATTATTAAGCGCAGACATAAATTACGTCACAAATCCACCACTAGTTGACTATGGTCCTTGGCCAAATTTGCTTCCAGATGATATCTGAGAAACAAAGTATTGTTCAATGACAATTAATGAGCTGTACAGACTTATCCAAAGACAGAAATTAGAAGCCTACTTACCAGTGATGAATCTATGAGGAGGGGGTACATGATCTAACCCCTTGGGCCACAAAAAAAGGACAATCATGCAGAAATTAGTAGCATAGTTTATACCTGTTAATCCCCCTTGACAGATCCCCCCCCCCCCCGAGCAAAAGCTCATTCCACTCCTGATTACTGAGGTGGTACCGTGCTCGTGTGCAGGTGCTACCCTGCACTAAGTGCCCCTTCAAACAATAAGGTTTTCCAATTTCCAACAAGTGGCATGTAGGCCTACAAACAGGCATTTTAGTGGAGCTGCTTAGGTCCATTTTTGGCCAAAATCGTGCACTTTGTGGTAAAAGCATGAAATTTGGTATGTTGGGTCAAAATGGGCTAGAAATCATTTTAAGATCGGGACCCATCCTGGTTTTTGCCCATTTTTGGGGCGGAGCTTGATTTTTTGAAAAGGGGGTGCAAACAATAAAAACTGTATTAAACATCCATTTCCCTCATTTTTTCTTTGCGTTGAAGTAAGCTAAACATAAAATAAGACATTCCAGCTTGTTAACACCTGTTATTTTCCTCCCATTTTGTGGCTGTGGCCTAAATGTGTAAAAGAGGCGGTATATGTTCGCAGTTTGGTTCCAATATGGAAAATACCATTCAGTTTGGTGGTAAAATCTTGTAAATTGGCATGTTTACTCGAAATGAGCTGAAAATCATTTTAAGGGATGGACCCATCTTGGATCTTGCCCATTTTGGGGGCGGAGCTTGATCAGTTAAAAAGGGGAGTGCAAACATAAAAATTAGAAAAACTGTATTTAACATCCATTTTCCTTCGTTCTTCATGCTTTTAAATACACAGAGACATGATAAAAAAATTCAAACATTCTAACACTTGTTATTTGTTACCCTTTTGTGGGCGTGGCCTAAATATGAAAAGGAGGCCGCACATTAAAGCAGCTTCATTCAAACGAGGGAAAATGCAGCACTTTTGCTGGTAAAACACAAATTCTGCATTGGTAAACTATGTTTGCCATACACTTTAAAGTAAAGATAAGTTTAAAAGGTTGCAAGGATTTTGCCCTGTTAGGGGTGGAGCTACATTTTAAAGTAGAGGGCTGAATATTCGCATAGAAAGGTAAAAGGTGGTAATATTTCTGTGGTCATATTTCTACTTGGTATTCTCACTCAAAGTGGTTTCATGTCCTTAGATGTACTGGTACATACAGCCTAGGCCAAAAAATAGTTCTGCTTCCGATAACATGGCATTTGAAAATAGGGTAGGAAGGTAAGTGCATTCTTTTTGTGTTGATCATATGTAGGTGTCTCAGCTGTGTGAAGTCCATGGTAAAAGGTGGTAATTGATGGTTTTTGTTTAATTTGTTCATTGTTCCCAAAACAAAATTAGGGTAGGGGCTGTCAAAATAGGGTAGGTGGGGTAACCGGAAGCAGAATCATTATTTTTTGGCCCTATGTGTAAATATTGAAGCAATTGCCAAGTCAGAGTCAATGGCTGTGGATTCTCTCTTCATTGATAGGACTACAGTCTATTGAAAGTTAACCCTGCTAAAGACCGAAATGCTGTTCCCCCTCACTCCCCCATTGTAATTCCTATTTTTTTTGGCGTGATTTTCCTAATATTTGGCATGAATGTTGGTTGGCCAGTACTGTATATGATGTCATTTTGGTAGATACCACACTTAGAGTGCACTTTCGAAATTCACCCCATCTAATTCCATTTTGTTTTACAAACACCCACATGAATTCAAAACGTCTGCGCCCAGAACGCCTTCAGGGCTTTTCTGCGCAAAAAAAGTGAGGAGTTAGCGTTCTGGTGATTCATATAGCTCTGTTGGTACAACCCGATCACAATTTTGAAATGGTCACATTTTTTCTTTTGCCCTTATGTTTCCTTTTATTTTTTTTCTAGATGATGCTCCGCTTCTTTTCTTCTAAACAGTACCTTGTAAGGCCAAAAAAAAAATCGGTCTCTGGTCAGACCAAATTTCCAGAATTGACGCGGCCACGCGGCTTTTTTTTTTTTCTTTAAGCTTGGATTGTACAGACAAGGTGGGGTATTTTTTGCTTTTTTGGTGTCCTCATGTACTTTGGTATCCTCCATAATTTGCCTTGGTGCTTTCGATCATTTGCCTTGGTGCAATTTCCCATACCTTGGTGCTCTTTGGTAAAAAAAAATGAGGAGGTGCGGAAATAGAGGGCGCTGTTGGAGCTACCGCGGAACATTTTGGGAAAAAAAAATCGACGCGCATGATTAAAATCGACGCGCGCGCTGACCAGAGACCGACTTAATTTTTTTTTTGGCCTGACATTGAACAAAAATTAACCCTTATTCAACATCTTCAAAAGTGACCAAGTCTTGAACAAAATAAAAACCCATGTTGATATTCTGTAATCAGATAGACCATTAATTGACAAACAATATTTTGTCAAGTACGTGAAGTCACTTGACCTTTACTTTAAAAGGGGGCTTACAAAAAAGTGAATGGTATTGTCATCGCCTGAAAGAGCCCCCCCCCCCCCCCCCCCCCAGCGGCACGTCCGAGAAGTTGGACTATTTAAAAACCATTCATCAAAGTTTTTCCAAACTTACCCTTGGATATTCTATTGGAAAAAACGTAAAATTATGAATTTGTGAGGTTTTAAGGAGCGTGACGTCATCAAACCGGAAGTTGTCATAGGGAGAATTAGAAAATGATTAGACCCGTAGACCCTTAGACCCTTAAAGTCTCGCATGTATGTTAAAGTTTTGGAATTTCTCTCGTTTCCTAAATATTTGCCCAAATTTCAATAAAACTTTGACACAAGGGCCATTGGGTAGCAAAGATAATGTGTGATATATTTTAGATCAAATGTCATGGGTCAACGGTCAACTGAGGTTAATCATGATGTAATTAACAGTTTTGGGGGAAAGCTTACAACATTCTACATGCTTTTATGGATTTTGATAAAACTTAGGTGCAGTGACCCTTGGGTGCATGAGAAGACACAATTCTTCATGGAATTACTAGGGCTCATTAGAGGTCATTGTTCAAATATGCTTCAAATGTTTCTTTGTCTAGTACAGAATTTGATGGATTATAATGTCACTTAGCAGTGGGATGGAGCGATCCTTTGGTTGGGGTTCACCACAACTCTCTCAAAATTGCAGGTCAAAAGTCATGTAGAGGTCATTTGAGGTCGTTGTTTAAAAATGCATAAAATGTCAAGAACATTTTTTAAGAAGATAAAATATATAAGTGACACATGCGATCCACAGATATAAGTCTTGTATTATTTCGTATCAAGTGGCAATGTTCGTGGCACAAATAATGGCACAAATAATGTTATCAGCTACATTGTTGCTGTGACGTAAACATACTGTGCTTTCATTACATACATTTATTCATTCCTGCATGAAGTTTGTTTATTTTGGAAATGCTTATCAAAGTGCAAGCATATTTTTTAAGAAGCTACATAATTTCTCAAAATATTAATCCCACCTTTTCAAACATCAAGATATTACTTTCCAAGTCCAAACATCCATATGATATAAATCCAGCAGTACACACTGCAAGGAATTGACGTATACTCTGCGCATATTTTTTATTATTTTCATGTATACATGCTCATATATACATGAAAAGCACTTGCAAGAATAGGTGAAGTCCACCGTTGGGATGCCCCCCCCCCCCCCGATGCCAGTAGTGTTTACAAACAAGGAAATGCCGCAGCTGCTGTAACCTATGTTACTTGTAGCCAATCACACTAATTTAAATATGATATATATAATCTTCTAGAATATTCCACCCCTTACTTTAAATTTTAGCTCCACCCCTAAAAAGGCAAAATCCTTGTAACCATTTTAAACTGATCTTTACAGTGTATGGCAAACATAGTTAACCAATGCAGAATTTGTGTTTTACCAGCAAAAGTGCTCATTTTCCCTCGTTTGAATGAAGCTGCTTTAATGTGTGGCCCCCTTTTCATATTTAGGCCACGCCCACAAAAGGGTTACAAATAACAAGTGTTAGAATGTTTGAATTTTTTTATCATGTCTCTGTGTATTTAAAAGCATGAAGAACTAAGGAAAATGGATGTTAAATACAGTTTTTTCTAAATTTCTATTTGTTTGCACTCCCCTTTTTTAACCGATCAAACTCCGCCCCAAAATGGGCGAGATCTAAGATGGATCCACGTCTTAAAATGATTTTCAGCCCATTTCGACTAAACATGCCAATTTACAAGATTTTACCACCAAACTGAACGGTATTGTCCATATTTGAACCAACTGCTAATATATACCGCCTCTTTTACACATTTAGGCCACGCCCACAAAATGGGTGGAAAATAACATTGGCTAAAATGCTAGAATGTCCTATTTTATGTTGAAGTTTATTTTCAAAGCATAGAAAAACTAGAAAAATGGATTTTAAATACAGTTTTTATGGGTTTTAATTGTTTGCACCCCCTTTTTCAAAAAATCAAGCTCCGCCCCCAAAATGGGCAAAATCCAGGATGGGTCCCGATCTTAAAATGATTTCTAGCCCATTTTGACCCAACATACCAAATTTCATGCTTTTACCACAAAATGCACGATTTTTCGCTTAGCAGCTCCACTATTTACAGTTATGGCCATTGCCGGATGAGCCTATTGTCTCTGTACACAAAGTAACCCTCACTCAGTTTAGATGGACTAGAATGCATTACCATGTACCAGCTGCCTGGTGCTAAAGCAAAGACCATTCGGGTTTGTTAGCATGCAGAATAAAATTGTGTGTAGTCGTCACCATATGGGCCTGAACCAGTGGACAGGCAGTGCAGTCACTGTGTGGACCTCTGAACAAAAGATGTCCACACACTGCATAGTGAAGATGCGTGGACTTGCCCATGTCCACACAAAGTTTCCATCTCTCCACAAAAAAAACAGTTTTAGATGCATTTTTGGCTGGGGGTTATTCGTTCCAAAATAAAGAGGAAAGCTCAAGGTAATCATGATAGAACATTTGGGTTGAAGGAGTGTTCACAGCGCGAGTAAAATATATATATTTTTTTTCTCCATTTTTTTTTAACTACACGAAAACAAAGGGATGTCCACACTTGGTATGTAAAGTATACATGTGTCCGCACATGTAATGTATCCCTCCAACAGGGATTCAACAAGTGGTCATTCTTTTCAGAACCACGCATACTCACAAAAGAGATTTATTCACATGGTACTACCGCAAACTTCTCTTGTCTAAGTGGTCATCTACTGTTCATACATAATAGCTAGTCCACAATATGAGCAGTATTTTAAACAAAGTTAAAATGCTCTGTTTCCCCCTTTTTCAGGAAACTTCGCAAGAACCGTCCAAACCGCATCCTGCTGAGTCTGTGCGCCTCTTTGCTGTGTTTGTACATCACCTTTGTGGTTGCCACGGCTCTGGATTCAGAGCGAGGCGTTGCCGAGTTGGATGTGTTGCCGTGCTGTGTCCTGGCCGGCTTCCTGCATTACTTCACGCTGACGTCGCTCTGTTGGATGGGCGTGGAGGGCCTCAACATGTATCTGCTGTTTGTTAGAGTGGTCAATGTGTACGTGCCGAAATTCATGCTGAAAGCATCACTGGCTGCTTGGGGTGAGTGTGTCATAGGTCCTTTATAAAATAAAAAATCTTACTAAAGAACTTTATGTTGTACCACGGTCTTTTGATTACATCATAGTGAGGCATGCTGGGGATTTCCCAGGGGCCAGTGCCAATATTCCCGAGACTTAATATGATTCATCTTGTTGTTAGTGGGCTCTTCTTTTCTTTGTAAACAGAGAGAACTTTTTTGAAGTGTATGTCTTTCTATCTTCCACAGTTTCTCCTGAGTTTATCCTGTCCTGGAACTCTTGCCTTGGATCTGTGAGACTCGCCGTTTGTCCTAACTACTCATCCTTTCTCATTTTATCTGTGGTTTTCGTTTTCAAGTTGGCAAGCTCTACGGTCGTGACATAGCAAGCTTGTGAACCATTTTGAGTCGTACAGATAGCTTCATGATGGCTCCTTTTTGTATTTGCTTTTTTTTAGGAATACCTGCATTGATTGTTGCAATAACTGCTGGGGCTACCAGGGAGGATTACGTTGGAACAGACTTGTAAGTTAATTACCTCCAATTTATGGAGAGAGTTATATTGAATTGTATTTAAATTTTGAATAGTTCAATATCATGTTAGGCAGTTGTATTTGAACGTTTGGTTGATGCTCATATGATGACTTTTGGGTTTTTTTTGTTACAGTTGTTTCTTGAAGCAGATTCCACTGATAGCTGGTCTCCTAGCCCCGATCGGCCTCATCCTACTCTTCAACATTGTCGTCTTTAGGCTGGTAATCCGCCAGTTCATCAAGACATCCAACAACGACCTCCGTAGGAACAGGGACGAAATGTCCAAACGGAAGCTGCACAAGCAGCGTTTGCAGAACGCCATGACTGTCATGACCCTGATGGGGCTAACGTGGTCCATCGGCTACCTGAATCTCGTCCAAGCAATATCCTTCCCTGTCCAGCTAGTCTTCTGTCTGCTGAATACACTTCAAGGATACTTTATCTTCATGTTGTATGGTGTTCGTCGGGCCGAGGTCAGGCAGCATTGGAGACGCTGCTGCGTCTTCCAAAGAGCCACTTTTTCTTCAGTGCGGACATCCTCCCAGACCCAGAGCTCTACAATTAAACCACAGGCACGGACGCCATTCAATCCTAACATGATCCCCAGACCTCCATCAGAGATCTATCGCCATCGACCTGATTCGATGATGCCCTCAATGTAACATTTAGAGTTTAATTTGACCCAGGTTATGGTTAAGATTCCTTTCGCATGTTCAGTGGCAACGCCAGACTCTAATTTGTATCTTGGGGGGGGGGGGGGAATGGGGGAGGGGGGGGGCAAGGAAATATTTTGGGGGGAGTCAAATAAAATCTTAAGCACATTGTGTAAGCGCGTGCAGGCCAATTGTCGATGGTCCGGAAATAAGCCACTAGAGCAACTAGACCTTTAAACCTTCAAAAATTGCTAAAAAATCAACAGTGATAGATAGAATCAAGATTTGGCTATATATAGCACAGTTAACAAAGCTCTTGAACCTTTTGGTTATAACAATGATGTCATCAAGTATCATATTACAAGCAATCAAAGATTTCTAGATTTAATCTTTGAAAATCAATATAAAATCAACTGCTACAGATTTGATTTTGTTTTTTATGGCAATCGATACAATATTGCAGGGTCTTCAGTTTTGGTATTAAGTGCAAAATCACGTGACCCTTCCTTCCGGTCGAAACCGGAAGTGCCTTATTATTTGAAATTGGCAGAAGATGCGAACTTGCTTTCAACGATGTGAGTGTCTGCCTAGGCAGTACTGTACAAAATATTTACAGGTGACGTCATCAAACGTTAGAGCGCCCTCTGGCGGCATTTTGAAAAAGTCAAACATGGATTTAAACATGCATTTACAGTTGATGTGTGCGGCCAACACCGTGTGGTTGTTCCTACAACCTCTAGTTTGACTTGTAAATGAAATACCTCTGTGCACATATTAGCCAAATTAAGAGATTTTTATTAATTAAAAAAAGGTAAACAGGTACGTTGTAATGATGGATGCAATCCTTTATGGAATAATGATTTGCTAAGGATTGTTGGTCTTTATTTTTTACACGGCATACGCTTAAAATGAATCTTTCACAAAGATCGCTTTCAGATAAGTCGAAAATCGGGATTTTTATACAATCCATCAGGAATATATAATAGGGAATAGTAAAATTGTTATAGGGTATATGTGGCTGGTTATTTTATAATGTATACTCATAGTCATCTTTGAAATATGTTTGTTTAAAAAAAAAAGGTATACATGTATTGGCTATTATAGGGATATGTGGTTGGTTAATCTATAATGTATGTATACTCAGTCCTATTTGAAATATTTTTGTTGAATAAAAAAAAGGTATAACGGCTAGGCTTTTGTAATAGACTTGTGTGCATTTTTAAAGAAAGTGGCTGCTTTAGATGTACATTAACTTTTTCTTGATGCCTATGTATTGATCCAGTGTTTTAAACTTTAATTGACTTGTTTATATTGCATTATAAGCAGATAAATGAAAGAAACACGCAGTCCAAATGTGTGTGTGACTACACGCCTCTGCCAAACGGTTTATTCAAAACATTTCTTCAAACTGTTACTCCGGCTACCGTTTTTCAATTGGGCCACCGGGTATTATTTCAATTGTGTAGCACCAAATAATTTGTCAATATCCATATCAATATCAGAGTTGGGCACCAGAAGCCCCTGAGCACCACAAGCCCAGAACCATTAATCATTTCAGCCAATGGGCACCAGAAGCCCCTGGGCACCACAAGCCCAAAACCATCAATCAACGTAAATGCATTTAGTGTGGCTATTAACGAGTGCCACATAAGGCCGAGTGGACACCCGGTCGGGAGACCAGATCAGCCTAGGTCATTGCATGTAATGATGAATAACACCTAACAATACACACTCCAAATGCCATAAACAATAAACTATAAATTCCCAGGCACCGTTCGATTCCTTGGTTTGTACTCACAGAAGGAAGAACGGTGCTCCTCCCCTGTTGAACTGACTCAAGGGAGAAGCTGCTATACCTGTTACAACTACGATTATAATTAATAACCTTAATGCAATAAACAATAACATATACATTGTGGTTATACTTCCTTTAATTAATGTAGATAGTAAGCCACTATAATAACCCAAAACGGGGAAAGTCGTGGGCTGTTTTATTTCACGAGCACAAAAAAACGCCACACGCGCCTAGCGCGGCCCAAGGAAAGAAAAACAACCCACCTTCTGCAAGCACTTGTCCAGAAGAAAAAAGCTCCACAAACCGTACAAAAAGTGCCGAATGGCCGATCGCAAATTATCCCTGAAAAGGGTATTCCCGGCGGGTGAAAGGTGCACCCCATCTCTTTGGTATATTGTTGATGTACCCTAACGTGGCGCGGCCCCTAACGTGGCGCACTTTTATTTTTCGCCTGTAGCGACTAGCTAGAGCAAAAGTTTTAATTGAAATTTCACAGAAAGTGAAATTTCATCAAGTTCTAAACACTCCCGTTCATAAATCGCGAGTTTATTTACCCGTTACAAAGTTAAAAGAAAAATATATTTTGGCGTGATTTTCCGATTTTATTTTCAAGTGCAAAGTGAACCCTTTGAAAATGCCCCGGAAAATAAGAAAATAATTTTCTGACAAACATCTGGCTGGGTTTGTAAGTAAAGATAATAATGATTTATCAGAATTTATCAAGTTTACAGAAATTCTTAAATGTTCATTTGGAATTTTCTGAGATTTATTCTAGTGCGCCACGTTAGGGAACACTCCGCCAATCTGTGCCCAATTTCCGGACGCGACCGTTTTTGCATTTCGGATTAAATTTTATGAAACCGAAATTGTTCACAGAGGTTAACAAGCAAGCATTAGAAAGGTAAAAGTACCAGTATTTCACTGCATGAATTTGAGGTTTGTCAACAAAGAGGTTTGGCAACACTACACGAGGAAAGTTGGGTAAGCTTCGAAGTGCGCCACGTTAGGGAACACGACTATAGGTGAAAATGGGTTCGAATGGATTGGGGGTGTTTCAAACTTATTGCTCCCATTCTGCCACAGCGGGACCGCGACCAGCGGTTAACTGCTCGCTGTTGCCTGTCCATGCTTTCTTGGGGATTGGCCCCATAATAAAATGCCCTGGGGAGAATTTCAGACCAGAGCAAAAGTGCACCAGGATAGGTTTCCCTACACAACTGCATAAAAAGCACCACACGTTGCCGAATGGAGAAAAAATCAACGTTGCCCAAGTCATTCGAACCCAAATGTACAATTATAATAGAGGGAGGGGGACCTTGCATATTACTCAGTAAGTCAGGAAGATCACCTATCCTGCCGCCACTCTTGCAGTAGTAAGGGAGGCGGGGGTGCTGGACTTTGTCATAGGTCTGTGGGTAGTACAGGGCCATTAATGAGAAGTCAGGGTACCAGACTTTGTCATAGGTCTGTGGGTAGTACAGGGCCAATGGGAAATCCCCCGATCTCAAGAAAAAAAATAATAAAAAAAATAAATCTAACGGAGAGAGAGTGAGAGAAAGAAAAATCTGTCGTCGCTAAAATGAGGGGAGTCTAATTATTTATAAATCTAAAAGTCTAACCTCAAAAAAAAATGAAGAAAAAATATTATATTTCCTATAATAAATGGAGGGTAATATGTTTAGACCAACCGTCAAAGGATATTCTAAATGGAACAAAGCCACACTGCGTGATTACGTGCAGCGGTATAGTATACCACACAATGAAAATGTTTCTCTTACTCGTAAAGTTTACATCGAGGGGATAAAACATTATGAAAGTAAATTTAAAAACTTGAGGAAAAAGACACTACATGAGCTCAAACAGATTGTAGACGAACACAATCTAGAATACGTACCGACGGGTTATAAAGGACGAGTTTTGAAAAAAGATTTAATCTCGGCGATTAAAACATACAGACAACCCGAATACTTTACAGAGTCAGCTTTTAGAGAAACGAGAAGGTTTAGAAATTACTACAGAAACTGGGAATTAAACCCCAGACTTTATAACCATGATTTAATCAAGTTTTTTGATTCGCACAAGGAACAAATAGTCAATAAAATCAAGTCTGAATTGAGAGAGCTGAGAGGTTTAAAAATGGAGCTCACAATCAAAATAAAATACGAAAAAACCAAACCGGATGGTACGATCGAAACGATCGAAGCTATTCATTATAGCAAGCAAAAAGCCGTTTTAAATCAAAGTCAAATAAAACAGGCTTTAAAAGAAGAGATCGAAGAGCTATTCAAAAAGGATGAAAGGTATACGAATCAAGGATCGGGTTGGGTTTTAAAAAAGATAATGGCGTTATACATCAACATCAACAGATATAATCCAGCGAGAGGTAGTTCCTACATAGACCTACCCGAATATCTTAAAATTAAGAAGGCGATGATCAACATCAAAAACAAAGACGATGAGTGTTTGAGATGGTGTTTGAGAGCTGCTCTTGAGTTGTATACGGATAAAGTAAAAAATCAAATAAGAAATAATCCTAATTATAAAATTCATAAAGAAGAACCTGTTGTATACACCAAAGACGACGGACTCAGTTTTAAAGGCGTTGACTTTCCGACACCGGTCGATCAGATACCCAAGATAGAAAGACAAAATAATTTATCGATAAACGTATACGGTTATGAGGGTGAGATATATCCATTATACGTGTCTAAAAACTACAAGGGGAAAGAGATCGATCTGCTTTTGATTTCTAAAGGTGACAAGCATCACTATTGTTGGATAAAAGATTTTACGAGGTTGATATACGACGTTACGAAACATAAATATAAGAAATATTTTTGTCGAAGATGTCTATGTCATTTTACCAATCAAAACAAATTAGACAGACATATCGCCGATTGTAAGGGTATAGATGCGCATCCATCAAAGATTGTATTTCCGACGGGTAAACCAAAATACATAGACGGGCAACCAGGCGAAAGAGACGTACCGATATTAGAATTTAAAAACTATAGACACAAACAAAAAGCACCATTTGTCATTTATGCTGACTTTGAATCAATACTACAAACAACAACATCCACAGACAAAGAGACAAACACAAAAAAGATTAACGTTCACAAAGCTAGCGGTTATTCGCTAGTTGTCGTCCGATGTGACGGTAAAAATGTATATCAAGAGACTTATAGAGGTAAAGACGCTTCAACTAGATTTATAACGACGTTGTTACAATTACAAAGCGATATTAATTGCCTATTTGAAAAACCCCAAACCATGAAATTTAACGAGCGAGCTAA